CCCTACACATGGTGCTGCGACAGCCCTGATTGCGGCTGCTGCTGCAGGATCTCCTGCAGCGTGCAAGGGTGGGAGGCGGGCAGAATTTTTCCGAGAATCACGCACACCTTGTCCACAGTGAGCGCCTCCAAACAGTCTGCAAGCATCCAAAGCAGCAGCCGCAGCAGTCAGCAGCTTTCTGGAGTGGCTATGCTTCCCTGAGAGACGAGGACGGCACAGGCCAGGTGTCTCCCGAGAAAGCCACAGGTAGTGATGCAGACACCGAGGATCTGTACGTCGACTGTCTGGAAGCAGCAGCAGTAGCTGCTGCTGCAAAAGAAGAAGTCGCGGACAAGCTGCATGCAGTCCGCAAAGCGGCAGTAGACGACGCTCTCCCGTTCGCGAGGCTCTCCGACATCTGCACCGAGACGCTTGAAGGCAGCACTCAGCCCAAACGCTGCTGCTGGGGAGACTCCCACGCTTTCCCACTGCGTAGAACGCCGCAGATCGCGCTGCTCTGTCAAGAAAAGGAGACAGAAGGGTTCAAGACATCCCACGAAGGCTGGGATTCATCTCTCCGCAGAGGAAAATCCCCTGCAAGAGATTTAGCGGATTGCATAGGTATCGACGGTGGCCGCTTTGTTGCGCAGACAGCTCGAGCCTCAGATGCCGCCTGTGAAGGCTTCACTGCGCAAAGCAACCAGCAGCAGCTGCAGCAGCCGTGGTGGCAGCAACAGCCGTCACACACTAGGGCTGTCTTCGAAGCAGATGACACAGAAGGGGGAGGGGGGGGGCCTTATCCGAAGTGCTGGGGAGCCACCATCGCCTTGGCAGCAGTAGAAAGTGTGCTGCGCAGTGACGAGGTTTACCCTGCACTGCTGCAGCAGCAACAGCAGCTGCCAAAGTTCTTGACTCTTGAACAAAGCCTTCTAGAGTCTCACGACACCGAGACTGCCAATGAGGAGACACCCCAGCGAGATCCCCACGCAGCACACTGGCGGAATTTCCTGCTGCGCTCCCGATTAGCGGCAAAACAACAGCCCCCAGAGCACGACTCGCTGCACCAACCGCGACAACAGCAGCTTGAGCTGCCACCCTTACGACCAAACAAGGCCTCGCAGCAGCAGCAGCCATGGAAGCTGCAACAGCAGCAGCAACAGCAACAGCAGCAACAGCAGCCATGGAAGATGCAACAGCAGCAACAGCAGCAGCAGCAACCGTCTTGCCATCAGAGCAACCACGACGTTAACCCTTGGCACCAGCAAAAGCAGCAGCAGCAATGCCAACAGAGCTTTGAGGCTGCAGAGCGACGGCACTGCAGTCCAAGTATGGCATTTACTTCCCACTACTGCAGGCAACAGCATCATCATCAGCAGCAGCAGCCGCGTCGCCTCCGTCATCGCCAGCAGAAAGCTGGGCATACCCACCAGCATCACCCGCAGCAGCAGCGTCTGCTGCAGTGTTGGAGGCCTATACCGCTCCAGAAGGTTTAGAGATAGATTGCTTATTTCGGAGAACGTGTGCAGCAGCTCCTGAACGCGTGCTGTTGCCAGTTTTTCCGCCTAGTTCTCTCTGTCTCGCCCATCGCAGGCTTCGTATTCGCCGAGTTCTCCTGAGTCTTTCCTCCACTTGTCAATCTCTTTCCAGTCTTAATGCTAGAACTCCCTAGTTTTTGCACACGTTGGCTCCTGAAGTATCACAAGCGCAACTGCAGCCTGCCTCCCTGCTTTCTCCGAGGAGGGGTATTAAGGGCCTCGGTGTGCGTGCGACACAGCCCGTCGAAGAGCTGTTTGCCGCCTCAGCTTCTACAGAGCCTCACTAGGAGCACTTATCCATTAGGCGACAGTATTCGTAGTAGAGGTGTCTGCCTGCGCTCCGTCTATAAGGAAATTTCCTGCCAGCGTCTACGACCCCATTGTGCTCAGGAACTTTTTGCCTTAGGAACTTATTAGTGGCGTGACGGAATGCCGTTTTAAAACATGACCCCCTGCATTTGCGGTCTCTAAATTGGATGTGCACTCCATTTTAGTAGGAGAAAGCGCACTGCATCTTGGGTGCATGCAGATCTCAGATTTTTCCCTTTTCTCTGCACAACGCGGGGGGAGGGGGTGGGAGGCGGGAAGTGTGAGGCGGGAGGGGGCAGCAGTTCTGAGCAGCAGCTGCAGCAGCGCCACGCATGCATGCATCACAGCCCCACCGCTAAAGCCCCAAGAGGCCCTGCTTAATCAAACTCGGGCGTCCGCACCCGGCAGGCAGGCAGGGGCTGCTCACGCAGCCCGCAGCCCAGCAAGCTTCCCCTCTATGCGGCGAGATGTTGATACACTTGAGAATTTGGTTCCACTTGCCGCTCGAAAAATGGCGAGCAGGGAGGCATTGCCTCCGTCATCAACTATGGAGCTCTCTTACGCACGAGCCAGATGAGAATGTCGATACATGGAGGAGAGAAATAGGCTCCTCCATGGCGTAGCTAGGATAGCCCAAAGGCTCGACACACCCTCAAGTGATATTTCCATGTAGCACATATTACCTTGCATGGTAGATTGTCAGCAAAAGGACGCTTCCACCAAGCCGGTTAGTTCGGGGGGCGTTGCTTTTCGCCCCAAATTTCGTATGGCGGCTGTGAAGGCCTCTTTGGCGAAAGTGGTACTTGTAAGGCTCGCTGCTTTGGAGTCTTTGCATTTTTTTGGCTTCCAATAGTGATACGCGCTTCAAAGTTTTCCCTTCGCACTGAGCGTGTAGAACTGCGCTAAATCGTGGTGCTACAATGCCTTCTCGTGCTCTCGGCCACCTGCACCGGGCTTGGTGGGGGTGTCTTAGTATTATCCTTAGTTCGTTCGATGGATGCCTCACTTGCCTCTGTATCCTATAATCATGCTGCCCGCTTTGCTGTGACTGCGTTTTTTACTCGCCAGAACGTGTAGGGGAGTTTCCTGGAGTGGCTGGCAGTGGCTATCATACGGTGCCGCCCGCATCGCATCGGCTGTTTCCATTTTCATTAATATGATTTAAAAGGCAGTGTCTGGTGCTTGCGAACTGAGCGATGGACTAGCCGAAAGGTCCTTTGGTATTCGCCTGTTAGAAGATCAGTTTTAATTTCCGCTGCTGCTGGTGCTGCAGGAAACAGCGCCAGCAGCGCTTGTACAGCAACACTAGTAGGGTCGGCCTTTCTACTAAGCTACAAAAGAAAAGACTCTGCGCATTTCAAAAGGGCCAATGGTTCTAAATTGAGGCAATGCCATAGAGTGCCAGCCTCCGAGAGCAGACGTTTCTGTGGATTCTACTGCTGTGCCATGTTAGAAAGTGCAGAGGCATCCGCAAGTGCCCTTTTGCTCTGATATACGCAACAAATTAGTTAAATGTATGCCACTAGAGTGCCTTGTTTTTCTAAGAGACTTCTGAAGGTTGTACCACGCTGGATTAACTGTGCTTGGTTGCCACCTGTAGCAACTCAGAGTTAGCCCTGCGCTATGAAGGCACATATAGCGCGCCAATTGATTAGCTAGGTCTTTGTATACAACTGCATGGTAATGCTCTGAATGCTCAGTGCGAAGCTGGTAGTACGCGACTCTCCTTCCTTCCCTCTGGCAAACCAGGAGGGGCCACCGGCATGAAGGCGAAGTAAGACAGTAGAGAGCTCCCGGTAAGAGGCAGCTAATCACTTTCCCGCAAAGGTGAATAAGTCGATGGAAATCAGGGGCTTCAGAGGGTGGCTGCGCAGCATTTCAGGGATTTCATTCCTTCCCCTTAGGTAGGAACGATAAAGGTTGCTGGCAGAGAGGAAGTATATTTGTAAACTTAGTAGCTTTTGCCAATATTTGACCGCTTTTTCGATTAGTGCTTCTACACGGATGCTTTAAGAAGAGTGTGAGGACAGCATTCTTTTGGTGCACTGCCATATAAACAACAAAAACACGCATCTGACACTGAAGGTGCTCCCAGCAGAACCCTTGTCATGTCAACCCCGGTTACCACCATCATGCTTGTATCACAGCACCCCGAAAATATCTCCTGTGGACTGCAACGCCTCCAAGCAGCGCAAAAATCAATGTTTCAATCCCAGCATACCGACTTGCCTGTGCCATGCTTCATGAAAAGCTGTCTGCCCATGCTTGCTCCTTGTGTGTCTCACTGATCTACCGCTTGATGCTATTCCTCATCCTTTTTCTATAAGTCTTGCCGTAGAGTGAGTGATTACTTTGCAGGAGGCCCGAAGTCTATCATTCAGGTGAAGTTGCCCAGCGAAGTCAACCCCTTTTTCTGCCTCTTCATCTGCTGCTGGCTATGAAATATCGGAAATTTCTATTCCCAAATCGTTCGTGCTCCTTGTTTGTTTCCATGCAAGTGCAAGTCTTCGAGGCTTTCAGTTCGAAACGCCTTCATTGTTTCACACGGCTGCTCTCAGTGGTGCAGCCAGAGAGAACACAGTGCCTGGGCAGGTGCAGTGCTGTCTCCGTTTCCTCACAAAATCTACCTTCCCTGTCCGTTTGCGTCTACCCATCCCACGTTGAAAATGTAAATATTTATACTGGGAGGCGTATTTCGCGCTTATTTCAAACAGGAGGCTCCTATGTACATCGATGTACTCCTGCCCGCTGCAGACCTGCCTACGACAACCACTACCACCCACGCGGCCAGGCGCCCCTCCGTCAGCTGCTGCGCAGTGCCTCCTGCTGAAGAAGGGCCCCCAAGGGGCCCCTCAGCGTGGCCTTCTGTTCCTAAAAGAGCTTCAGATGAGCCTCTCGGAAGCCTCAAACCAGGCGCCCTCTCAAAGCCAGAGCTTTGTGGCCCTTCCGATGTCTCCACGTAAACACTGTCTGTACGGCGGACGGCAGCGGCCTTAAGGCCTCTGAGAATTGTCGCAGGGAAGTAACGTCAGTATGCTATTCAGTTTTAGGGTTATTAACGCCACAAAAAACAACTCATTCCTCCGGAGACCCCTGGAATCCTCCTCGAAAGCCTCAACAAGCGAGAACGAGTGACACAGCGAGGCCTCAAGCTCGAAACCCCTTAACTTCGCGAAGATGGCGTTAGATCCGTTCTGCTTCTTTCGCACTCTAGGGCTCTGCAAGGTAGGTTTCACTCCTTTTTTTATCCCGAATTTTAACCTTTTCCTCGGAGTGGTCGAGGCTCTACACGGCTTCGCCAAGCTACGGACTTGAGTCTCACTCCATATCGCTCTCCTTCCGTTGACGACTCACTCAAGCTTTTGTGCAGCGCAATATACGTTGTGACTTGCCGGTCCGTAGGATCCCCCAGTGGAGCTGACACAGCCTGAGTGGTGGGTAGGCCTTCCAGGCGGAGGGTCCCCTGGCTTGCTGGAATCTCTCCGTTTGACGCCACGGCAGCAAAGACAGCAGCTGCTAGCACAACAACCCTATCAGCAGGGGGTATGGGGTCACCCCGTAGACGCTGTGGACGTCCGAGAGAGCGCGACGGAGATCTACTGCATGCAGGCAGCCGCTTCAACCTACTACCTCCCTGCTAAGCAACAGCAGCGTCAAACGACGGGGATTCCGCAGAGCCATAGCAGCAGAGCCTACGCAGCAGCAGCCCCTGTCGCAAGCAGCTACCCTGCGAGCAGCAGAGGCAGCAGCGACGGCCAAAACCAGGTGCCTGGCTTCTTCGGACACCTGCCCCTAGGCAAGGGTCTCAAGAAATCTTCTGACGGCTGGGGTCTTGCAAACAGCACAGAACCAAGCAGCCGCGGAGTCAGCGACGATCAGCAGCAATAACGCAAGAAAAATTCCCAAGCACACCGTCCAGGAGCTTAGGCCAGGCGACCTAAGTGCAATATATTAATATACATATTATCTATATTGCAGATCCAAGATCTACACCCACGCGGATCTACAGCTATTTCTACACCTGCGCGGAAAAGTCTACGGGGAATCGCACGAGAGTACTTTTTTGTGCAGTTGCATGAACGACAACAAAATCCACCACCATCCCAAAACCCTAATAGTGATGCCCTCTCTCCGCCTGGCGTCGGCTGCTTTCCGCACAGCGGAAATCGCTGCATCTTTTCTGGTGTACGTACACCAGAAAAGATGCAGCACGGCACAATAGGGGAGACGCCAGGCAGCAAAGCGAGCGACAGACGAAAGTTGGTACACTTTTAAGTGATCAACGCTTTATTAGTTGACTTTCGCTTTTTTTAGAAACGGGAGCAGCCTCTGCTGCCGCGGCTGCTGTGGCTGCTGCCGTTTCCCTGTGCTGTCGCTGTCGGAAATGACTTCCTGAACAGGCTCAATCGAGTCGTCCTCTTCTGCCGCCGCGTGCGTTTCTTCCTGGCCCTTCTCTGGGAGTCCACTCCGGGCAAGGCTAGGCATAGCATGCTTACTGCAGGTTTCGATGCTCAATTGCTGCTGCTGCCCGTCCAAGGTGCTCGTCAGGACCCCCCATTTAGTCTGTAGCAAGCGGTATACCGCGTCGTCTATGGTGTTCTGAGCCATCACGAGCACACATTCTCGCACTCTGCTCATTCAAAAGCCTACGAGAAGACTTGCGAGGAGAGAGACTAGAGAGGCACAAACCTACGGCCTGAACGGGGAGAGAGGCCTTCCCCGTCGAGCGTCCTCACGCCTCTCCATGGCTGCCGCTAGATGTGCTTTTCCCCTGCCGCTCACTACAGCCCCTCCGTATCACGATCTCTTGCCTCCAGTCTGCCGCCCATCCCCCCCTATTCTCTACTTTTAGTAATGCCTTGTGCGAAATTTTCTGCCGGGAAGTCTCTCTACACAGCCAGCCATCTTCTTCTGGCCCTTCTTAGGAGCCGGGTTCGGGGGATGGGAGCACTCTGTCTGCGTGCTTCTGAGCAGCCTAACCTCCCCAATAAGGTAGTGAATCTGCACGGAGCGATGCTGATTTCCGATGCGGTGAGACCTGTCTTCTGCTTGAAGAATGAAGCCTGGAACCCAATACAGCTCGGCGAATACCACAGTTCCCTGAGGCGCAGTGGCGACGGCAGAACAGCGGAGACATACGTGCGGAGTTTGCGGCGAAGTTGTTGAGGCAGGCCGTGTGCGGCGGGTAGACAGACAGACAGACAGGCAGGCAGAGGAGTTTGTGCGTATGCACGTATGTCTAGGCAAGCATGTATGTATGTGTGTTTGCGTGCACACATAGATACAAGCATACGTAAGTGCACTCGGGAAAGCGAAGAGAAGAGGGAACGACGCGCCATGCTGCTGAGCCTTGATACACTGGCAAAATACACTTACGGCTGCAGTGAGATCAAGGCCCTGTCCGCAAGCGGTAATAGACAAAACTGCCACCTGCATGCGTGGCAGCAATACGCATCCCGACGAGACGCAGAGCTGCACACTACAAAAGGGAAGGGAGGCAGCGGACTCGATGCCCTCCTCGAGTAGGCATACGAAGCGACAGACAGACAGACAGAACAACACGAGGCTAGAGAAGAAGTGGAAACAAGAAGAGAGCGGTCCAGGCAGACCAGCAGGCTTCCTGCGAGGCAGCCGTGTAAACACAGACCCGAGAGAAGGACAGAAGGCAACGCCTAGAGAAGGCCTTTCACCTCAGGAGAGAAGCAGCAAGCCCTCCCTCCTATATATATATGAATATATGTATTTATATATATATATATACGGAAGGTCAGGCTGCACGCGGAAGCGTACGAGCAGACGAACACCACCACACGAAGGCGTATGAAGATTGCACGGCGGCATCCTTAGACAGACGCAGAAGGCGAGATGGAGGCATGCGTGTAAACAAGACAAAAATGGGGAAGCGCAGTGGCCAAGAAAAGAGACAGACAGATAGATAGATAGATAAAGTCGCCCCAAAAGATATCAACGGCTCCAAATTGCCGAGAAAAAAACACTCAGCGAGTTCTGGTACCGATGCACAATTTCACATCAGGAAAGGGCACACAGCATATATATATACATACATCTATATACATATATATGTATATAGATGTACATATACATACATATACATATACGTATATATTCGTGCAGTAACAAGGTGTATCTGCGGCATTTTTCAGAAACCTGTAGAGACTATTTGCGCGTTCTCAGCTGCCTGACGAACCATGCATTCCGAGTCGGTCTGGAACTGCCTGACTCGAAATTCTCGTTGATCTTGGGGAGTCCTTCCGTCAATCTGAACCGCTTTTTTCCTCTCTGTCTGTGTGATGTGCTCGTATACGCGGTCCAGAACCGCCAGGTGATGCGCGAAAACAATGCACTTGATGTTGTATTGCAGCAAGTACGAGAGATAGTCGCACACGCCTGGCAGTTTAGCTTTCCCCGTCAAAGAGAACAACTCCGATACGAGGGCGTGAGACGACTGGCTTGTTCGAGGCGGTTGGAGCTGCAGGCAGGCAGACAGGCGAGACAGAGAGAGGCAGATATAGAGAGAGACGGGGATTTTTTTTTAGACGATTCGCAGCAGGAAGACACAGAGACGCAAGACTCGTCTTTTTAGGCGAGACAGAGACACAGAGAGAGAGAGATAGAGAAAGACGGGATTTTTTTTTGACGATTCGCAGCAGGAAGACACAGACACGCAAGACTCCTTATTTTAGGCGAGACAGAGACACAGAGAGAAACAGAGAAATACAGATGGGAGTTTCTTTTTCTTGGACGATTCGCAACGAGGAAACACAAAGGTGCAAGACTCGTTATTTTAGGCGTCGTCCGTGTGCATGCAAGGGGCTTCCCGCGCGCCACAACACAACACCACACCACACGCCACTGTCTAGCAGCCTACACTGTCTTTTGAAAGCGCAGCTCCAGCATCTGTAGTGCCAGCACCTGCCGCTTCGTCACTCTCCTTCGGAACAAGTGTGCTGACGTCACATCCCGCCAGTTTTCGCCGTATCTCCTTCAAGTCTTTGGGTGAAATTTCAATCGGAATGCGAGACCTGCATGCAAAACACGATGCCAAAGCGCTTGTCTTGAGCTGTGCTGTGCAGAGGGATGGCGCATACGAGAAGAAATATCCTCCAAACACAATCAATGCTTCACAAGGTCAAAAGACAATTACGTTGCTGTCGACATGGCTGCAGTACAGCGCTCGAAAGTGTGTAGGTATGTGTTGGTGTGTAGGTATGTGTTGGTGTGTCTGTAGGTGTCTAGGTGTAGATGTGTAGGGGTAGATGTGTAGGTGTAGCTGTGTACGTGTATGTAGGTGTATGTAGATGTGTGCGCTGGTGCATAGGTGTGTAGGTGTAGCTGTGTGTAGGTGTAGGTGTAGGTGTGTTGGTGTATAGCTGTGTGTATGTGTGTGTTGTTGCATAGCTGTGTGTGTGTGTGTGTTGTTGCATAGCTGTGTGTGTGAGGGTGAGGAAAGGCGAATTTGTACTCCAGGCTTTCTAGAGAGGTCTCTGCTCTATGCTTGTGTCGCTAGCGGTGCATCGAGACGTGAAGGGAAATATTGAGTGTCGACAAATAAGGGTGACGGGCTTAAAAGAGGCCTGCGCGTGGGTATGATTATTATTCAACTTTGGAGTAGAGGGGAGAAGTGCGCCGCGGTGAGTTGAACACCTCAGCTTGGGTGGCAGTTCAGTAAGAACGTCTTTCTTCAGCCTCCTTATGAGGACGGTATGCTTCAAAAGAAGATGCAGCTCCTCTTCGTGCTGATGGCCCTCATCCTCAAGTCGCTTCGTGAAGGCGTTGAAAACAGGGAGACAGTAGCGATCACTGAACTCCCTATAGGAGCAGAGGTCTGGCAGCTGCGTTGTACAGACACCAAGAACCACAACTTTAGGAAACAAGCAACTGACACGGGGCAGGGGGTAGAGGAAGAGTAGGGGTTTAGGGAAAAAACGCGACCTTTTCAGAATCATAAATATGCGAAAACCTCTTCAACGCATGCAGGATAGGGGATAGAAAGGCCTGGAGGGTTGGCTCTCAAGGAAGGCAGCTACCTAACTGGCTGCTAACTGGCTAGCTAGCTAGCTAGCTAGCTAGCCGGCTGTCTGGCGAGACACCAGAGGGGCCTGCTGAAGTGAATGGTTGGAAAGCAGAGGCAGCATATCCAGAGACGGTTGATCGGCGATTCTGAAGCCGATGAAGCGAATTCGTGCATCTCAGATCCTGCCGATTTTCGAGATTGCACATCGGAGAGAGCCGTACCAAAGAGTTGAGTTGTTGGTAAAGTTCGACAGGGCGGTTGAGCGCAGGCGTTCCAGAGAGGAGGAGAGCTCGTCTGGCGTGCCGCAACATTGGACAGATCTGCATGCAGCAGACAGCGCAGCTGCGCAAAGAGACACTGGCTAGCCAACTCGCCGCCACTCGCCTTCCACGGGGCGAAAGGGGGAGAGACTGGGGTGTCTTGCTCGCATGCTGCGTCTCCCAACTCGACGAAAAACATACAAAACGACACTGAGGGTGGTAGGCAGGGGTATTCACGAGAGGTGAACTCCTGGACCGCACCATTTGCGTTCGTTTAGCGTGGTGGTTCTTGAGGTAGTGCGACTCATCGCAAATTACACACTGCATTAGAAGAGACAGAGAGACAGACACCAGGGCCATAACAAAGAAGAGCGGCGTTAGCAGGAGGGGGAGGGGAGGAGGGGGGTGATGGATGGCGTGTCTCTTGAGAAGCTGGTTGATGGCATGTGCAGAGCAGCTTCCACAGCACAAGCCTTCAGTCCTCGTGTCTGGCGTGGAGAGAGGAGAGGCAGCGGGAAATCTTCTGAGAAAAGCCATCATGAATTACAGGTAAGAAAGAGCCGGAGGCTTGCCTGGTAGTTCGCTTGGAACCGTTCTTGCTTGGCAAGCAGATCGTAGGATATAATGACCACTCGCGTCTGAGACGAAATTTCCGTCTTGCCGTTCCGAATAATGCAGATCTGCAAGAAAAACCCCCATACCGTAGGTGCGAGCCTTTCCAGTGCTTTCGCTCTACCATAGCAAGGCTGCCCAAATATCTCTATCTCTCTTTCTTTCTTTATTTCTCCATCTCTTTCTCGTTTTCTCGTTCTTTCTTTCTTTCTGTTTCTCTCTCTTTCTCTACGTATGTGCGTTGCGAGTTTGGGATGCGTTCCTTTCCCTTCTCCCCGCTTTCCCTTCTCCCTTTTCTGTCCTCAAACTTCGCTCCAACCTTGTGACTGGTAAGCACATCAGCTACCTGCTCTGGGGTGAGGATGTGGCCAAGCCATCGCAACGCCTGATCTCGCCACTGGAAGCGACTGCAGCGCAGCACAACAGCAGGTGGGAGAGGCGGTCGGCTGCATGCAAAATAATCCCGAAGAATGCGGCGTGCCGATGCTAGGGGCCTCAAGAAAGTCTCGAAAATCAGACACAGAAAGAGGCTGAGGTAGGGGCAAGTCTTCGGGAGGATGCTCTAGCGAACGAAGTAACAGCAAGCGCGAGAGTTGGCAAGGCATCCATAGGACGAGGGTAGTAGTACACCACAGGCTTTTTGCGCCAAGGAATTTACAGAAAAAAAAGATGCCACACACGACGCGTAAACCGAGCAGCACCAGCTTCAGCAGCGTGCATGGTGCAGTTCTCTAGGTGTGAAAGTTGAAAAAGGCCGCTTACGACAGCAAACGGCAGGAGGCAAGACCTCGAATCTCAGGCAATGTTTACACACACACACATACATCTACTTTAGACACAGGGAGCTTTAAAAATCCGAGAGGCGCTTTCCCACCCCGTCCCTTCTCTTCAAAGCTAAGTTAGGCATGTAGGCAGGCAGGAAAGACGTTCAGAAAATGACAGCAAAGACATCCTGCGTGCAACAGTTTGGTGAGGCAGAGAGCTACTGCCCCTCCTGTGAGCTCGAGCTGCGCTCTGCGTGAGGCTTTTGCATGCGCTGCTGCTGCTGCGGAAGACTTACATGGAAGAAGGGCAGACAACAAGCAGTGGCCAGTCCTCCATGTAATGCGCAGCAATTGTCAGCGCCTGCGGGAACGTAATCAGCCAGAGAAGCCGGTGACTGCCTCAGTCTCTAGACCCTGTGCATGTGCACCACTCCCCATGGCTAGCTGGCGAGCAGCGTCGAACAGAGCGCGCAAGCATGCGAGCAGGCTATGGAGGACCGAATAGGCTGCCTGCCTGCCCGCCAGACTCAAACAGCGCGAAAGCTCTAGAGAAAGAAAAGACGGAAAGCAATAAAACGTGGAATCGACTAAGAGAGAGAAAGGCAAAAAGAGGGAGAGAAAGAGAGAGAGAAGACGAAAGCACGATACGTGGAATCGACTAAGAGGGAGAAAGGCAAAAGAGGGAGACATATAATATATATACTTATCTGTGTATACATATATACATAACGAGAGAGAGAAAGAGAGATTTCAAGTCGCGCAAGAAAAAGTGTGCGGGGTGATTTTGCCGTGCAGGGGCAGCTAATAAAGGAGCTCAGAGGAACCAGTGGCTACGTGGTCGCGTGAGACAAGAACACGCCTGTATATATATATATATATGTATATGTGCGCTAACCGTAGAAGAAATTATGTTTGCGCATGTGTGGCATACCTGAATAGTTTTGCCTAAGCCCATTTCATCTCCTATGAGAACCCTGCCGTGACGCTGCAAGCCGAAAGCCACGCCCTGCCTCTGGAATTCTCGCAGCGAGGCATACAAGGCAGCATCAACGCCAGCGGCGTCTGCGCTTGCCGCTTCTTGAGCTGCTTGTTTTTTGACTGCCCCTCCCTCTGCTAAGGAGTCGCTGCCGGTGACTGCGGCGGAGAGAGAAGAAGAAGCTGCCTGTTTTGCCTGCTGAAGTTGCTGCAGACTCAGTAGCTGCGGAGCAGGGGGAAATTTATGTCGCAAGAGCACCAGTGCCGTTTTCTTAGGAACTGCGGCAGCGGCTGCAAAGGGCTGGAAGGCAGCGAATGCTCGCAGTACGAATGATGGAATAGGCTCAAAGGCGACAAGCGTGAAGCGCTGCAGCAGCCACACTCCACAGTCCAACCAAACGATCGGCAGAGGTGTTCTATGCAGCGGCAATACCACTGCCACGTATGTGGGGTACCCATGAAAGCTCCGCGTGCTGCTCCTCCCGCTATCCGCCTCTACGCCTCGCGAAAACAACAAAGGCAACAACAAAAGCAACAACAAAAGCAACAACAAGAGCAACAACAAGAGCAACAACAAGAGCAAGAGCGAGCAGCAACAAAAGCAACGACAAAAGCAACAGCAAGAGCGAGCAATAGCAACAAAAGCAACAAAAGCAGCAACAAAAGCAACAAAAGCAACAAGAACAACAAAAGCAACAACAGCAGCAACAAAAGCAACAACAGCAGCAACAAAAGCAACAGCAAATACAGCAACAAAAGCAACAACAACTACAGCAACAAGAACAACAAAAGCAACAACAACAACAACAGCAACTACAGCAACAGACGCCATTTCCGCAAAGGCGCTGCACAGCAGCCTTTTGCAACGCTCACCTTCTTGATTTTCTCGAGAACTTCAGGATAGCGATTGGCAGGGAAGGGGCCAGGGTTCACTGTACTGCTGCTCGTGCTGTTGCTTGGACGTTTTGCTAGCGCGTCTTTTGGTGTGTCATTTTCCTCGGAAATCCATTGCGTTTTCAGCGCCTGAAAGACAACAGCAGCCACACCTCCCCAAGAAGGCACCAGTCCCACCGCAGAAAAACGACGGCAGCTGCAGCGGTGCGGCAAAAGTCTGTTGCAGAGCGACAGTCTGAAATGCAGAAACGAACTTGCAGATAGCTTCCAACAGCCCAAGGCAGCAGCGGACTCCACACAGCGCCTTTGCTGCTGCCTCGGGGGCCTCCCTGCCGCCTGTGCTGCTGCTGCTGCTGCTGCTGCTGCTGCTGCAGTGCAACAACTCGGAAACTGTCTTCGGCGCAAATCTCGAGCGCCACAGACACTTCGACGTGCAAAGGAGTCGCACCGGCATCAAGGGTAGGGGGGGAAGCCTCTGCTGCTGCTGCTGCTGCTGCTGCTGCTGCTGCTGCTGCTGCTGCTGCTGCCCACGGCACCGGGGGAGGCCCTGGGGCCTCGGCGATCACCGGAGTGCTGCTGCTGCTGCTGCTGCTGCTGCTGCTGCTGCTGCTAACACCACCATCACTAGGGCTTACACTCCCGCCGCTGCAGAGGCCACCCCCCTTGCTGCCGCTAGAAGGAGGCGTGTAGCGTAAGCCGTCCAGATAATGCAGAGCTGCCCCCTGAGCAGTGGGTGTGTCTGAAGTAGCATGCAGAGAGACAGCCGAGACAGCGAGCTGCTGTTGGCTCTGCTGCCGTTTTTGCTCCTCTTCGCGGCCAGAGGCTGGACGTCGCGCACTCAGAGCACTAGCAGCGGGTTGCAAGTCTCCCTGAATTGCATCATCCAAGTCGAAGTCGAAGTCGCTTGCCAGATCCTCCGCCGTCGAAGGGACAGGAGCAGGAGCAGCAACAGCAGCAGCAGCAACAATAGCACCTGCTTCCGCGATATTTGCACCGGCAACACCTTTTTCTGCAGGAGCATCCACCTCAGAAAACTGACTAAACGAGCAGGAGAGCGATTGATGCTGCAGCGGATATGCTCCTCCTGCCGCGGCGAGTACTGCCGCATGCGCTGCAGTTGCTGCTGCTGCTGCTGTAATAGGTGTTGTTGCTGCTGCTGCAGCTGTTGCTGTTGTAACAGCTGTTGTTGTTGCTGCCGCTGGAGCTGCTGCTGTTGCCGTTGTAATAGTTGTTGCTGCTGCTGCTGTCGATCCTGCAGACGCCACCTCTGCGCGTGGTGCAGCAAAGCCAACAGCAGCAAGTTCGAGGGAGCCACTACTGGGTGATATCCGCAAATTGAGCTGTTGCTGCTGTTGCTGCTGCTGCTGTTGCTGCCGATGCGCGCCAGCCTGATGCTCATGGCTCTGTTGATGCGCGTCGAGGGAGTGCTGCTGCTGCTGCCGCCGCTGCTGCAAATATGCGACAAAAGCAGCAAGCTGACCAGTCGGTCCTGGTAGGCTTGCTGCCCATCGGCAGTAGCTGCTGTCTATTGCGGCTACATACGCAAATGTCTTACCCGCAAACTTGCCAAAACGAAAAACTGTTTCTCCTGCTTGAGAGGGACCAGCGAGGTGCCCTCCACCCAAACTATGAGGCGGATCTCCCTGACGTGAGTAGAACAGAGACGCTGGAATTGCCGCAGGTTCTTGCTGCTGCTGCTGCTGCGGCGGCATCTGCTGTTGCTGGGATTGCTCTTTCTGCAGCATCGTCTGCGACTGCATCACTGGTAGCATGCAGTAATTCTCAGCCTCATCGCGCTCTTGGCATGCTTCCGGCAGCAAAACACACGAGCAAAAAACAGCTGCCACCTCTAGAGGGTGCCTCCAATAGGTCGCCTGTATTAGTGAAGAGGTCCCACGGGTGTTGTAAACGCGCGATTATTGTCAACATCAGCAGTTCCACGAAGGAAAGAACCACACAAGCAGCTGCCCCCCCCCTGCAGCTTTCGGATTACGCTGCTCTTTTGCGGCGAGGCAGCCGCGAGCAGTGTGACTGCTGCAGCGCATTCAAAAACGGAGTGCCGTGGTGTAATGCTGCCGGGTCGATGTTAAAGGGGTCCTCTACTCTCCACGCGTCCAGCAGCAGGACGCTCGACACCAGCAAAACACTACGATCATCAAATCGATGATACTGGCACTCACACAGAGAAAGTGAACCCGCTGCGAACTCGCTATTGTATGAAATGCAGTTCCAGAGCCTGAAACTGCAGACAAACCTTCTTATCCTTGCGGGGCCCCGTTTATCACCTGAACAGGGGGCCCCTACGAAGGGCCCCCTCCCTACCGGGGAGGCCCCCAACCCCACCAAAAAGCCAATGTGCCCTGTGCAGGAGTACCGTCTTCCCCACCATATTACAATATTCGCCGCTCTATGCTGAAAACTACTCTTAAATCTTGAATTTGGTACTCTTGCGACTTCAGAAAGTTTCCACACACACTTCACAAGTTCCAGCCTTTGCTGCATTTAAAGACAGTGCACCGTAAAACGGCCGGACAGACCGAGAAAGAGAATAAAAACAGACCACTGACTAGAGAGGGTGAGGAATCAGTGAACGAATACCGAGAAACAGAGAGAACGAGACAGACGGTGCTTGAGATTTGCACTTTGTGCGTGGGTGCTAGGACCTTTCGTCTATGTTCTGCTTCGAAAGTGTGGCCTGGCTATCCGCTTTCTCCGTCTTAAAGTGTGTCTTATTGTGCAGCTTAATCGAATACTACAGGCCCCTCTCTGAAGAGGGGGTTCCTGGCCACCCACCTGTCCAGGTAGGAATGCAACCTTGGAACGCTCCCTCCGTGATCTCGTGGTTAAGACACTTGGTTACTGACCTAATGCCAAGTCAATAGAAAGCGATGCAAATGTTTTCTAAAGGCCTCCATCTTTTCTTGTGCGCGCCCCTCTGAGTCCCAGAGCTGAGGGAAGGGAGCCAGCTCAGATGCGAGCGACTTTCACCCTCTTAGCACTCCGAGTATTTAGAGCTATTGCACCTAGCATCTAGCAGAGTCCGAAACACTGTTCCGTCTTTTTTTATTCAGTAAACAGTACTATGCAAAAAGCTATATGCGGACGGAACAAAGCCATCAGTCAATTCTTCATGAATTCCTGATTTTATCTGTAGTAGAATGTGTCGAAGGCTATGCTAACCCGTTGTATCTTCCGCTCGCATTTCAAACCCACGGCCTTCGCGCTTCCCACCTGTTAATCGAAGATCAAGTGCACGGGGGAAACCGGAAGTTTTTTTGCCCGGTACCCACCGCTGAGTAGATATACACATCAAAACTCTACACACGTGAAAACAAATGTGTCCAGCAACTGCTAAAGTGAATCTGATGGGAAGAAAGACACAAACACTAGCCAACAACGAAAGCCAAAACAACGCCACCGCGCCGGCTCGATGGCTCGCCGTCGTCAGTGCACCGAAATATGCGAGTCTCCTGCTACGTGACAACAGACAGCTAGGGTGTTATTTACACTCAAATATAAGCGCAGAAACTTTCGGTAGCCTCCTCTTCAAATCATTCCTACGCGTCTGTCTGGGACTTTGATGTAGACTGTGGCGCGTGCACAAAGTGTACTGGAATGAGGAGATGCTTTATAAGGCGCGAAGGCACTGCTGCTGTAGTGTAATTTCATCCATTTTAAACGTCTTAGTGATAGCCGGGAATACTTAAAGCAAGAACCATGGTTGAAAGTAGCTGTTTGAGGCAGAACATGCGCTGGAGAAGGACAATTACCGAGGGGAGCGAGGAATATCGTCCATGATGACAAGCGTAATTAGCCAAACAGTGTTGTGAGTTATCCAGCGGGCAACGAAGCACGCAGCTGGGCCTCCGTAAAAGTCTTAGGATGGCATTCGCCCACCCATTCCACTAGGCACTCTCATCTGGTATTTCCCCGGCGCTCAAATGTCCACAATCTCAGCGCTTCAATGAGGCCCTGCAGATCTTCCTCCTCCACGTAGGTCATTTCTTAGCACAGCAAAAACCTCCAATTATTCAAAGTTTAAAAACTTTCTTGAGGAGCCAATACTGTGTTTGATGGCACGTTAAACTTCAAGGGAAGTTGGTAGAGTAACAAACAGCAATATTTCGCAAGATGAGGCAAATAATGTTAGCCAGTTGGCCCAAACTTCTTCATGTAGCCGCCTTCTAACGTATTTCGCGTGGCCTGCCGATCCACCAGGACCAAGGCTACAGGCGCGAAACACACAAGCGACCTTTGCTTCTAATCACTCTTTGCCTGTTTGTCTTCAGCTTTGCCCATACATTTGTTTGCACTGGCCAGCCGCTCTTCGAATTCCTTTGCCTCTAGAGGTGGCAGCTTAGGCGCTGGACTATGAGATTTGAGCCCGGATTCAAGAGGGGCCAATCCCTGTGACCCAATGTCGAGGGAGAGCAACGGATAGACGTATGTGCTGTCGTATTACAGACCCGCTCACCACCCAGGAGAAAAACAAGCGAAGCAATTGGATTTGGCAAGCAAGTAGTGGCAAATCATGCATAGAGTGTGGATGGCGCACTCTTTCTACTCATCTGCCAAGGTGGCTCGCGGTGGTCATGTTATTGTCAATGTGTGGGCTAATCCGCAAGCCATCCCTGAATGGATAAGCGGAATCGCGATGCCTAACCGTAAAAACACTCCTAGTTAAGCCTTGAGTTTCCATACACTATCAAAGAGCGATTGGTGAACTTCCTTAGCCGTGACAGAGCTGGGAAACCAGAAGCAAATTGGACTTCTACACGGTCTAGCGAGAACACCGTAGATGCCACTCTGACCCTTGATTTACGGCACTTCGACAACAGATTCACTAGCCAGATATATCCAAATCCTTTCAGGAACCGGACGGCTTTGCAAATGACCGGGTTCGAGAGAAGAAGGCGGCTTATGTGATGACAATGTGGGCACGACAATGCAAACTTTCCTTCTGCGGTACGCATTTCAGGCCACCAGCAAGACCCAGAGAGCCATTGCACTGTAGTGCGAACCACAGCAGGGTCCCCAAAACGCAGCCATGTGCTTCCCGCAAAAACAACACTGCAGGGGGAGGCCAGAGTGTAGAAGCGACGGAGTCTTCGCATTGTTTTGAACCATGGCGTGCCACTCTGAACGCGGTAGTCCTCGACCTTTCTGCCATTCTGGTTTTGGGCAGAATTAGTGCCTGCACGGGTGTCCAAAACAAAAGACTCCTGTGTATTCAAAAGAAGCTCGAATTGCATTGCTGGGGATTGGCGATAGGGCGTTGGTGACCACGATGGTGATGCCCTTCATACACTTCACTGTTTAGGCGTACTGCAGTAGGCGCCTAAGCCAGATAATATTACTAAGGCTAGCAAAGTCATGAACACTCTTCGTGAGATGCGTCGAGGACTAATGGTTGGGCTGGACAGTACATTGATGCCTATATATAATTGATGCCTGCACTTTTCACACCCCACCACACCCAACAAGGCTTTTCTCACACTGGGCGCCGCTGCTGGACTTTAGCGAAGTCATGAGAATAACAAGCAATAACTTGGTGCTTCGCACGGGCTGCAGCCTGTTGGAAGATAATGGCTTTCCAGACATGTAATTAGCGTCGGTTGTAAGGAGCAGTGGAGCTCAAGTATGGACAGTGCAGGCACCGAAGGAGTGGTAATGTGGCTGACTGGCTTTTTCGGCGCTACCACTCTTTCCTGTTATGGGCATAGAATGCTCTTTCTTACGTGTCTCAGTTGGAGATACAGCAATCAGAGCGATTGGAAAAAAGGGTTTTTGGCAATAAGATGCGAGCTGAAATCTTCTCGAGGAACTTGCCATAGTGAGAAAGCAAAGAACACTCCTTGATTGCTGCACTTTTTGCCGGATGTTCCTTGACTTCGGCAGCCGAATTGCAGTGTACCAGAACACACGTTGTTCTGTTGTACACCCAACAGTTTCCTGCCTCTACACAGCATTGCTTGTCCCGCAACAGCATAACCATGGGATACGGGTGTGATAGGTGTTTAGAATGGTTTGGTCGAGCATTGAGGAGTCGAAGTACATAGCCGAATCCCCTTACTGTGTAGGCTCTGGGGAATCCCGATTGCCTTCATGTTGCTTATCATCTGTGGCAGTCACAAGTCCAGAGAGCTTACAGGTATACTCATGTGTGTTGTGTACAAGCGCGGAAAGCCATTTCGTGTCCGGTAGGCTTAATGGGCATTTCTGAAAAGGTGTATTGAAAGGAAACGGTAGAGTAGAATGTTTATCCGTGGATTTTATCAAGTGAATCGCAGCATTACGCCAGCGTCTTCCGAGCTTGTCCGTAGAGACTAACTGTCTAGCGGGCTAGGCTAAATGTTGGCACTTCCTACTGCAATAGCAATATTTACACTTGAATGAGCGAGAAAATGAAAAAGTGGTTTGCTTGTTGGTATGTCTTGTTAATGGCAGGTCAGCAACCACTCTACACAAGAGGACGTTATGTTGCTCGGCTATAAACCAGCAGGTGCGTGTATCCAGCTGTAAGTGCCCGGAGTACTCAGAGGGTTAAGCTAGGCGCACATTCCTTGCCCCTCTTCCCTTGTGTCGGGACCCTAAGGGGCGAATGCACGTAGAAAAGGTAGCTCTTCTTTAAGCTTTCAATATATTTGATTAGATTGTATTGATCCTTGAGCTTAGCGCCCCCTTACGGACACCTTGGATGAGAGTTACACTAAAAGTGGTTATCGGGATCCCCCTTCTCCCAGACTACACTAAAAGTCGACTTTGGCGGCCCCTCCCACCAGATTAGGGGGAAGGCATATGAAAAGAGTCAATATCCTGGCTATATTGTCACTTTCATGGCACAAACAGTCTACTGAGCTGAAATGAGGAAAAGAAGAGGATAGAAGGAACCAAAATTATCGTAGCCACTTCCGGGTGATCCGGCAGCTCCAGGCCGCCTGTCCGTATACTCCTCTGCGTAATGTTTCAACAATCCCTAGCAGAAAAACCTAGTGCAAGAGCAAATATTTACCTAGAAAGTGAAAGAAACTTGGAGCAGAAAAGAGTGGTTACAATTGTATGGAAGCGCTGCTGTCTCAGGTCGGTGTGTCGGCAGCACCACCAGCGTCACCAGAAGTAGCTGCATGAAAACAGCGCATCTGGTGCTCTCTATCCTGCATATTTCGGCTTTTTAAGGCTAAAATACATAATTTATAAAGCTAATGCGTTTAAATGTACAGGAACTTGTACTGGTGTCGTTGTTGATGCTGGTGCAGTAGCTCCTCCGCCGCGGCTGGGGGTCGTCCGGTGCCTGAGCCAAAGCTCCCTGCAGCAGCGGCTGCAGCGGCAACAGCAGGACGAACAGCAGAACAGCAGAGCTGCCTTCACGTCATATTGTTGTGCACAGTTGTGTCGTGGTCTGCTGGTTAGGCAGCCACTCAACGAATGTGTAGTGGAAACAGCAGCAGCAGCAGCAGCAGCAGCGCTGCCTTGTTTTGACTTAGCAGCAGCAGCTGTCTCTTCCCATGCTGCTCCCACGTTACGGCTTTCTGTTACATTGTCTCTTTCCTAATAATAAGGAGCATACAGCCTGTGTCAAGGGACCCTATTTCTTTTCCTGGAGCCCTTTCACTACGTCGCTCGCTCCCGGCTAGGCGACTGCAGCGGCCCGTTGTGTCTGCGGTTGTGTCTGCAGGATTAGCAACAGCAGCAAAAACAGCAGCAGTATTCCTTTCCCTTTTGTCTGACTACGGGGGGAGGAGCATCCCCAGAAAGCAGTAGCACTAGGGGTCTCACCAGTTCCCCAAGGCACAGCCGACACGGCAGCAGGCCGCTGCCGTGAGACGGTGCTAATGCGTAGAAGTCGAGAGCCGTAGGGTTAAAGGTTTAGAGATGAACTGCAAAGGGGGTGACTCAGCAGACACCCCCAAGTGCAATGCCCAACCTCCGCATAAGTAGCGCCCTCGTGCTTTCCGTATTTACAGCAGGAAACGCAGCAACAGAGGTCGCAATCGAAACAACAGCGCGAAGCTAGTACCATTCGGAAACGGCCAACTGCGGCTGAAGATGACTGCACTCGCTGCAGAACTCATCGAGGGGACGTCTAGAACCCTGGCAGAGACGAATTCCCACCCAGGTGCTGGCGCTGCTGACATCGCCAGCAGCCCTTTGGCCTTTCCTAAGCAGGAGCACGATCCCGCCTCTCTTGCTGCCGGTGCGGAAACAGCTGCTGCGAGCAGAAAAACTGAGGAGGCTTCGCAAGGGACAGCCAAGGAAGCGATTTCCTCCTCAGCAACAGCAGGAACAAACGCAGCAGCAGGGGGAGCAGCCGCAAGGGCTGGCAGCAACAGCCCACCCGAAGGCATGCAGTGGAATAGTCTCCTCTGCAAACACTTTCTCTTCGGACGCTGCGCGCGCAAGCGCTGTCGATTCTTGCATGCTGAAGGCGCTGGAATCGAAGCAGCACCCGTGGCAGCACTCGCTGCTGCTGCCACGGGTGCTGCTGCTGCTGCTGCAGCACAACCCATCAACACGCCTCCACAGCACCCATTTGGTGCGTCGCTGCAAAGACAGCAGCACCAGCAGACTAGGGAACGCAGCAATGGGACCTCGATGCAAGGTAAGAGGGCCATACGAGCTGTACATACACCCGCCGCAATGCACATACACACACACACTCGCACTCACACGAGACAAGCACTTTTTACGCAGCCAATGCAGGTGCCACCCCCTCTCTGAAGGCGTGTTTTTATGTGTACCCAGGCTCAAACAGCGCTATTAGAAGCTCTGAGGAGATGAGTTCTGGTGGTAACTGCAGCACGAAGCAGCAGCAGCAGCGTCAGCACCGACAACAACAGCACAGACAGCAGCGGCAGACGCAGCACCAGCGGCAGACGCAGCAGCTGCCACAGCAGAGTTCGTTTTACAAAGGGAGGTAAGAAGCACACTTTAGCAGGAGAGCAAAGAAAAAAAAGATGGCTGTTGTTCTGCCTGCAGAGTTTCCAACTGCGTCCACTTCTGCTTCGCGCGGCTTCACATCCACAGTGCCTTCCTTGCCTTGGGTGACTGCTGCTGCATTTTTTTGTTCAGGGGAGCTATGTTACTTCCAGCCTATAATGGAAAGGGTTCCTTGCACTGTACATCGGTTCTTGGCTCTTCTGGCAATAGGAGTTCGCATGCGGGTACTCTTTGCGGATTTTCTGAAGGGTCAGTATACTCCGCCGCAACAGCAACAGCACCAGCAACAGGAGCAGCACAGGCAGCACCAGCAACAGGAGCAGCACAGGCAGCAACAACAACAGGAGCAGCAGCAGCAGCAGCAGCAAACACAGGTCGTGCTGCAGTGGGAAGCTCCAATGCAGCACCAGGCAGCAGTGGACAGCCTTTCTGCCTGCTGAACGCCTCTTGGAGCTTTGGAAAGCCAGAGGTCTCCCCTGGAGGCAGCGGTAGCTGCAACGCAGCAGCAGCGGTTGCGCTGCGTTCTCAGCGCGTCTCCCCCGAGGAGCGAGGGAGCACAGGTGTTGGTCTTAAGACGCCTGCTCAGTCAGCAGCAGCAGCTGCAGCGGCAGTTGCTGCAGCAGCTGCTGCAGTGGGCTTCCGAGCAGAAGGAGGCATGGGTGCCTCCTCCCAGGGAGCGCTCAGGGATTTACGGGGGGTTCAAGCAGCCGAGAGTTTGGCAGACAAATACCACACCCCTTTTGTCTGTGTCTATTTCCCTTCTAGTGGCTACCTCATACACTTTACGGGCGCAAGGGAGTCGGCGGCTGCTGCTGCTGCAGCTGCAGCTGCAGCGGGGGTCGTTTCGCCTCGGCACCACCAAGTCATCCACCCGAAGGGGAAGAGGGGCCCTCTAGACTTCTGCAGCGGCTCGCGAATGCAGGAAGCAGGTGCGGGAGCCGCAGCCTTCTCCCCGTATGACAACGGCAACACTCCGGAGTATCAGCAGACGCAGCAGCAGCACGCGTCTAGCCGCTTGCTCGATCAGCAGCAGCTTAACCAAAGGTCTTGTGGAACGAGGCTTCCCCCTCCCCCTACGCCTGGACACCTCTACGCCACTCACCATCAATTAGTTGCCCAGAGGAGAAACTCGGATTTTCCCCTACACCTTCAGCAGCAGTCGCAGCCGCTGCTTCTGCTGCAGGAGCAGCTGCATGGGCTGTGCATGCCTTCCTCGAAAGGGAGGGGTCTGCCGATGCCTGCGCCTCCCCTCTTTGGGGGTCCTTGCTGTGGCGAGGAGCTGCACCCTAATGCCGAGCCGACGACTGCAACTGCGGAGGAAGACGAGGAAATCAGTGCTTCCATGATGACGCTGGAGCGCAGCAGCAGCAGCAACAGCGGTGCAGCCTCGAGCGAGATTCAGCTAGACCAGGATCAGCTTGTTTCCCTCGAAAGCGCTGGGAGCCAAGGCGCTGCTGCAGCCGCGAGAAAGCGAGAGCAGCAGCAACAACACAAGGCATTGTGGGGAAGCCCCGTGCTGGGTGTACAGACAGCTGCAGCGCATCAGCGCAGTTGTTGGTCGCAGGTCACTCAAGATACCCTGCAACAGCAGCAGCAGCAACAGCCCTTTTGGCTGCCGTCTTTGGAAGCCATAGACGGAGAAGCGGCAACGTGGCAAGCAGGAGACTGCACCGGAGACGTTGTCGGTACTGGTGCGGCTGCTGTTGCTGAAGCAGCCAGTGTTGCTGCTAGCAGCGGCAGCAACAACAGCAGCAGTACTGCTGCAAGCGCGGAAAAGCGAAAGGGAAAGCAGAATTTATTTGCTGCCTTCCAAGATGAGAGGCATCATGCTGCAGCGACAGCAGCAGCAGTGAGCCCGAGAGATATGGGGGAGCTAGCGCAGCTCTCTCCCACTGCAGCACTAATTGCTGCGATTTGGGGGGCAGAAGAGCCAGCGCGTCATGCTGTTGCTGTGTCGAAGTAGCAGCTGCATTGATAAGAGCAGCAGCAGTGGTAAGAGCAGCAGCAGCAGACTGCTCAGCAGTAGAAACGGCTTGTGCTGACGAGCACAAGATCAACAGCAGCGACACACACACACACACACGCACGCACGCATCCATACACATACACACATACACACACACATGTACAAGCACTGGATTGTTGCTGGACAGTGCGCCTTAAGCGAAGCGCCCCGCAGAAGCAGCAGCGGAAGGCCATCACCACAGGTGAAAAGTGGAGAAGGAGAAGACAAGCGAGAGGGTGGTCCTGCTGCAGCAGCAGGTTGGGGGCAGCCTCCTCAGTCCGCTGCATCGATTCTCCCACATCTTCCTTACAGCGGCTTGTCTGCCTACTATGCTTCAGAAGCAGTCGCGCCAGCAGAAGCGTTCGAGGGAGAGAAGTTAGCACCACAGGTGTTTAAGTTAAAAAGCAGATGTACGCTCCAAGAAAGTCAATGCGTTTTCTTACAGATCGATGTCTTTAGTGTCCAGTCTCCTGGGGTTCTGAACCCTGGCTAGGTCGTTTAGTGCCCAGCTCGCTGGCTAGCTGGTTCTTGCATACCTGATTGTCTGCCGCGAAGAGTGCCGCGGCAAGGGCGAGAAACAAATGTTAGACGGTGTCTAGTGCCTGTTGTACTGGGCCCAGGAAAGCAGACGGGCGGAGCCGCGAATATTACACCCCCTTGTTGCCTGCCAGTGCGCAGAGTTGAGGGTTCGTTGCTTTTCTTGCTATTCGTATTTCATCCCTTTGTTTCTCCCCTAAAGGATAAGGATCAGAAGTTAAAGTCGCCATATGGTTTTAAGATAAGCAGCTGAGTGTCCGTGCACGGCTGAATTTCGGGTGTGTGAGCACGTCAAGGTCTGGGAATCTCTTGAAGACTTTTGTATTGCTCCCCCTCCTAACAAACCCAACGCCGTTATTGTTAGCCTCAGCTATTCCACTCGCACTGCAAAGCGCCAAGCTAAGGGGCTTTCCTAGGCATGGAAGCTCCGAGAGAGCTTTCACCTTGGGGGTCCCTTACTCTTGCAGCAGCACCTGCCCGAGTTAGGCCATGATTCCCAAAGTGTATCCGTGTTAGGCTAGTAGGTAACTGTATTTGTGGGAAGGACGTAGAGCGTCCATGTGGAGGTCATCACAGTGGCACGCCGATGGAAACAGTGGCACAATTATACAGATGAGCTACGCGCAGTCGCCCCAAAGGAGGCATAGAGCATGGGCAACTGGGCTCTCCTCAACAAGACAGCACCAGTAACTCAAGCGTCACAGGCCTCTGAAGCCCATTAGCAAATAGGGCACCATGCTCAGTAGAGTCAGAGATCCACCTACGCGTTTAAGCGGTGCGTTCCTTGCAGCTTCTAAACGGTAGAGCGAGGTTCTTACAGTAGGTTTTTTCGAAACTGTAATCCGAATAAAAAGTTTATGCCTACAGTTCTCTAAACCCACGACATGGAAACGGACTCCTGGGAGCTTTTTGCATCAATTTCGTTTTTGCCTCACCTTGCCAGCGTCTGCCCCAAGGTGACCGATGGGGCTGGATACGCAGGCGGATGCTATGGATGCCAGAGTATAAGGTGAACTGGGTCTATAGTTTTCCGAATCAGATGTTTTTCGCAGAAGCCGTAGGCCGTCGGCAGGAGCTAACTTGGTTGCAATAGGCCTTGCCAAAGAAGCTCGTTGAAAAACTAGTATATTTCTTCCAAGGTCTACGGTGTCAAAACAGTCTCAAGAAAGTGATCCCCGGGAGCAACCTGAAGCGAAGTCCTTACCATTTGCCCTGGCAGTTTTGCCCGTACATTATTTCCACACATTTGAATGCAAGAAGACTGTCCATCCCAAGGAGTCTGTCAAGCACATAAGTAATGGCCATTCAGGTATAAGATACACCTAATCACTCCTACTAAGCTCATAATGCCTAATTAGGAGCTGATTACGATCTAAGTAAATGGTTTGCATGTTTGTACTTGCTATTTTTAGAGTTCTGTCAGCGTGTTACGAGAAGGCGGAATGCTTTGTGCGGGCTACGTATGACATGTGCAACTATGTCGGAAACTCTGAGGGGCGCAGGCAGAAGATTGAAGAAGGGTATTTGAAACATACAGTGCTTTTCTATTGAGTTTGCACAGTCTAAGGACAAGGTGTCTCCCCACAGAGACCGTATATGGAGGGTCACAGTTGGTAGCTTTTGATGGTTCGGTGGGGTTGTTTCCCGCTTCTACTGATTGTGGGTGAAGTGAGATGCCTCCTTTTCGGTACAACAGTTGTCTTCTTTTTGATAAGTTTGTTCGGCAGCTCAGCAATTTGGTTCTATTTGCAGCAGTATGGGGAGAACTACTCGTAAGATGAAAGGAGACGGTGGCACAACGCCTCCTGGGGCGGCAGAGGGCGCCTTGCAAGCTAATATGAACGCAGTAGCTTCAAAACTAGTAAAATGGCATGCATGGATATGCTGAGCCAAAACGCTGGGCGGTAATAAATATGGGCAGAAACTCGAACAGTTCAAGCGGCTCAAGATGTACCTAGCTGTGTACGTCGTAGTGAAGGGAAAGAAGTACTTCTTGCAGCATGCCTGTTGGAAGGGGGAGTACTTTTACTGTATCTATATTCATGCAGGGGAAGCACGCTTATATAGGCTATACGTATTCAGGGAAAGCAGTCTTCATTCCGGAATCCTGCAGTTCAGGCCTTCATACAAGCCTGCCTTACCGGCATTCGCCGAAATCAGCTTACAAGCAAGCTATGGGGTAGCTGTAAACGCTGAAGCAAGCGAAGCCACCAAAAGATTAGTATATCGAACAAAATTCAGCTTGGCTTAGCAAACGTCACAGCGTGAACGAACAACTACTTCATCAGTGGCTTACCTCAAGGTCTACCAGAAGGGCAATGTAGGAGGGTCGCAGGTTGGGGAGCGACTTTGCGAATCAACAGACGAGCGGTGGCGATTTTGCAAATAGTGGGCTTCTGTGAAATCTAGGAGGAAATGAGCCATACAATGTTTTTCTTTAGCTCAAAAGAAGGTGCAAATACCAGATATTGAACCTATGGATGCCGAGGCTCTGTCGACCGTCTCTAGCAATTTCTTTTCTAGGGCTAGCAACAAATGGACACCAGAGAAAGTCCGCGCTACTATGGAGCCATACAGAGCTCCACAACAGCGCATCTGCCTCTATTGTGACAAAGTAAGTCATATGCTCCAGAACTGCAACCGCATTAAGTGATACAAGGACCTGGAACAAAGGCACTGCTCCAAGCGGAAGCGGGTTGTGTGGAAGGCAAACAAGGCACATACGGTAAACAGCAAGCCTCCTAAGACCACAGTGCAGTGACAAGGGCTACAGGGGATAGTACTGCAGTTGAAGACCCACCAAATGTCAATTACGCGCTGATACAAGTTCACGCTTAGGGTCAAGGTTTGCTAGCGTTACTTCGAGCAGAGGAAAAAGATATAAAGTGGAGCAGCTATCCGAGCACAACATACAAGAGTTCGATCTGCGTATTCACTCGTAGGCGCAGTCACTGAGACTCAAGTTTTCTAGCTAGTGGCAGAGGGCAAGGGTTTGGCAAGGTTACGGCAGCTCAATGGCAATTTAACTCGAAATTGGATCCTAGCAGCATGGCCCGTGACTTCCTTGTTGGGCATGTATAACATGACGTAGCCGTGGGCATACCACGGGTAGTCCAATCAAAGGCAAGGAAGTGACCACAATAATAAACTGCGAAAGTTAGTGTACCGCGAGCCGCCAGGAAGAAGCAGCTTTCAGTCTGCTGAACAAGGCTCCATAAGTCCATGACCAGTGAAGAAGAGTCCACACCTTAGCAAGGTGAGGCAGAGTGTTCGTGTAGGAGGCTCAGCAGCGCAGTACGAGACGGCCCTGACCATGCACCCCTTCTGAGTGACATTAAAACGGCTCTTTATTGTGGAGCTTGATTGGAGGCTCAGCAGAAAAACATCAGTACGCAACGCTCAACAAAAATTCATGCATGTGTTTAAGGCTGACGCGCTGCCGTTGGCTGGCCACCTGCTGGTCGTCCACCACATCGTACTAACTAGCTTCCAGGTCTTCTTCAAGCTACATGCCACTGGGTGGAGCCCGTATACAGAGTGGAAAGATGGTTTAGCGCAGGCGGATGGTATCTCGCAAAAGGAAAAAGTTCACGAGTGGACCAGCGCTATTGGGCATACCCCGGTATTGGAGCAAAGAAAGAGTGGAAGGTGACTCATATGAACTGTATTTATTTTAACAGGATCCTGGTTAAACAAAATCTTTTAATACCTCGTATTGACAAGTTACCTGACGGACTACACGGATCAACAGTTCACTTGACATTTGACCACACAGATGCGTTCACTCAAATGCCTATTAACCTTGATAGGCACAAAAAGAATTTTCATGCTTGTGCTCAGACATTTCCAGTGCACCTATTTGCCGTTTAGATTTTTGAATGCCGCAGATGATCAGCAACATAAAGGCAATCAGGATTTCGCTGAGCCTGTCAAGCACGGGTAGACGGTTATATACTTTGATGCCTCAATGCTAAGCCAACCTATTCGGAACACCTACAACCCCTACGGCGCACGCTTATGTCGTTGCGGGACATACAAGGCTGTGTAAAGGCAGGAATCTGTTGGATTTACGACAGAACAACGTGTGTTCTGGTACACTACAATTCGGCTGCCGAAGTCAAGGAACATCCGGCAAACATCAAAACAGTCAAAGAGTGTTCTTTGCCTCCTTAAAATGGAAGGTACGTCGAGAAGCTCTATGAGCTTGCATCTTATTGCCAAAAACCCTTTTCTCCAATCGCTCTGATTGCTGTATCTCCAACTGAGACACGTAAGAAAGAGCATTCTATGCCCATAACAGGAAAGAGTGGTAGCGCCGAAAAAGCCTGTCAGCCACATTACCACTCCTTCGGTGCCTGCACTGTCCATACTTGAGCTCCACTGCTCCTCACAACCGACGCTAATTACATGTCTGGTAAGCCATTATCTTCCAACAGGCTGCAGCCCGTGCGAAGCACCAAGTTATTGCTTGTTATTCTCATGGCTTCGCTGAAGTCCAGCAGCGGCGCCCAGTGTGAGAAAAGCCTTGTGGGGTGTGGTGGGGTGTGAAAAGTGCAGGCATCAATTATATATAGGCATCAATATTCTGTCCAGCCCAACCATTAGTCCTCGACGCATCTCACGAAGAGTGTTCATGACTTTGCTAGCCTTAGTAATATTATCTGCCTTAGGCGCCTACTGCAGTACGCCTAAACAGTGGAGTGTATGAAGGGCATCACCATCGTGGTCACCAACGCCCTATCGCCAATCCCCAGCAATGCAATTCGAGCTTCTTTTGAATACGCAGGAGTCTTTTGTTTTGGACACCCGTGCAGGCACTAATTTTGCCCAAAACCAGAATGGCAGAAAGGTCGAGGACTACCGCGTTCAGAGTGGCACGCCATGGTTCAAAACAATGCGAAGACTCCGTCGCTTCTACACTCTGGCCTCCCCCTGCAGTGTTGTTTTTGCGGGAAGCACATGACTACGTTTTTGGGACCCTGCTGGGGTTCGCACTACAGTGCAATGGCTCTCTGGGTCTTGCTGGTGGCCTGGAATGCGTACCGCAGAAGGAAAGTTTGCATTGTCGTGCCCAGATTGTCATCACATAAGCCGCCTTCTTCTCTCGAACTTGGTCATTTGCAAAGCCGTCCTGTTCCTGAAAGGATTTGGATATATCTGGCTAGTGAATCTGTTGTCGAAGTGCCGTATATCAAGGGTCAGAGTGGCATCTACGTTGTTCTCGCTAGACCGTGTAGAAGTCCAATTTGCTTATGGTTTCCCAGCTCTGTCACGGCTAAGGAAGTTCACCAATCGTTTCAGAGTATGTCTGTCAAATAAATGAATTATCAAATAAATTGCTAAAAAGCAGACAACTGTTTGAGAGGAATATGACATGTCACTGCAACCACAAGCATTCTATTCAGGAGATGCTACCAACACAGTGCTGCATTCAAGAACACTGTAAGGAGACAATCGATTTCAAAATCAATACAAATTTGACGGGGTTTCATTGAGTGTACGATTCGGCAAAAGGGTAGACGGCCAGCTAGGATGCGCTTGGCTCCGCCCTATAAGCATTCCGAGTATCCAAAGCTGATTGCATGTAGCATCTAGTGTAAAGGCACACAACAGTGATCTTACGAATGTTCCAATAGGTGTAGTTTGCAGGGAATAGCGGGAGGAACAGCCAAGAGAAGGGAGTCATATCTTGTGTGTTTCTTATCAATACGCCACTTGCCGAAGAAAATGTTGAAGAGTAGAATAGGAAACAATGGTAGCAAACACAGTTATATCCAGCAGTCTAAGAAGTGTTCATGTTCCTTCACGTAGATTCTAGCCTCCTGTTGCAAGGAAGCGACGGCCCAAGATATCTAGTGTCGGTGGCACATCGCTACGCCGGTCCCTCTGGCGACAACACACGGAGGTTTGCTAGCACTGAAAGAGAGAATGTATTGTTGCCTCGTATAGAAATATGCTATTTTGAGTCCTGGAATGTGTCAGCTTGGAGCGTCGGGGGCGGCTAGACGCAGGGCTCTCTGGCACGAACGACAAAAGGCACTATTCAAGCCATAGGAGCATTTTTGGCTTATGAGCGTAATTATGTACACTAATAGCAAAAGCCAATGCCGACATTATCACTCTTAACCGCTCGTGCTCTTCAAATAGCAAGCCATATTGCAGCGGCAGATCGTTTAACGAGCCCAACAGGATCTGCAGCCCTGTCAAATGAAACTTAAGAGGGAGCACTCCGCAGAAGCCCTTGTTCAGTCTTTATAGATACACCTTAATTTGAAAAAATTGATCTGCATGTACCCATTGGAAACGAATGCAAGGTTTACTCTCACTGTGGGAAGCTTTGAAGCTCACCAAACCTTTCGGGGCCTAGCGCCGAGCCCACCCACGCGGCTTGCGCAAAAATGCGTCGGGAGTAATGCTACGTAGCAACGCACTAGTAGATCGATAGCTTGAATACACGCCCTGACAGGCCCGTCAGACGGCATTCGAAGTGACTGGGCGGCAAGGTGTAGCTTTGAAAAAATATACTTGCGTTGTTCTACACGAGTGTCCCGTCGTGCACCGCATTCCTAACTGCGTACAGCCCTCAGAGAGCGAGAAGGCCCACACACGTTATGCAGCGAGGCTATTGATGCAGGGGCCCCCACAGTTTTATGCGCCCCAACGTTCGACCAAGTTTTTCTTATTGTTGCGCAGTGTCTCTTCGCCCTGTAACCAATGAACCGACTATGAGCGAGCGCTCAACCATTTAAGGTGGACGCCACCGGGAGGCATCCCACAGTGTACACGGCGATAAGTGTATGTAACATGAGTTGCACATCTGTCTCCCGCCTTTCCACCGAGGGACCCAAAAGACTGCAGCCTAAACAGATATCAGCTTGCTGCCCTCTTTCCTCTGGCTAAGACTGGCGTTTGTCTATATTGTTGCAGAAGATCCAGCGGCTCGTGCATCTGCGCTATGGAGATTACGTTTCAGGGTGGCATGGTGTGGAACAGTATCTGTCTGCGAGCCGGAAGACACGGTCTACAGGTGCAGTGCAGTGCAGCAGGTAGACGCAGCGTTCAAGAGGCCATGAGCTGCCGCATGCGCGCGGCCACGGCTCTGAATTGTGGGACTTCAACTGAGGATACAGTAGGTTCTTTACCTTCACCCGTTTCCCCCGAGGCTCCCCAGGTGTCGCCAACCACCATAAAGACCTCTGGGAAGTGCATTACCAAGCCCATAACAGAATCACTCCATGACAGCGGGCACGATGCGTCCAAGCCGTACTCTGCCTTAGAAACCTTCAAAGGCACATCCCACTTTTGCACAAACCGACTTGGTAAAGAGGCTGGACTGCAGGGCCCCTCCTCCGCCAACAATGCATGGAGCCCCTGCAGCGTTAGCATTAGCAAACACATGGAGGGGGGCAAGTCCAGAAGCAGTGTAGGGTCTCCTTGAAATCTCACTCCTGCAAATAAAAAAGTACAGTCCCCATCCCACTTAGACAAACTAAAATAAGCTCACAGTGGCGCAGCTTCCATACTTATCCCTGTCTTCCCCTGTGCACCCCTATTCCTCACTGTTTCTCTATGTCGCGGTAGCTATCTCTTGCTCAATCTCCCTTGCAGGTTTTGTGTCTGTTCTCGCCTCAATCCCTAAATTAATGCTGTGCATGAGCTGCCAGTCTCGATGACAACCCCATTCATAAACCTGAACTACCCTATGAAGCACCGAGGGCCCTACCTCTACCCACACTGCCAGCAGGCAGGTGGTGTGGTCCTGCGCTGGAGGGACCCCAAGGCACCGTTTGGGATACCTGCTGCTGCTGATTTTTGTCTGCAGACTGCTGAATCAATTGTTGCTGGGGAGGCGGGAGGGCTCCACGTTGTGAGACAAAGTTCATGGGATGTCTCACCTCCCCCGCCACCAGCTCATCCACTTCAGAAACACAAGGGGAGTCAGGCCGCCGCTGCTGAGGGGGTTCCCCGTGCAATCGGCTGCCGTTGCCGCTATCACCTGCCCCAGCCGCAACTCGAAGGGAGGGGAGGCCCTGCCTGAGAACGTGGCATGTGCCGTCGAGTGGGTTCACTTCAACGAGGGGCCCCGTGGAGGGCCCAAGACACTGTTGTTTCTCGAAGAAACTGTGAGGTGTGTGACCCGCTGAGGCCGGCCAGTTCTCCCGCACGAGGCCCTCGAGCATATTCTGTAGCCGGTGCACAATCTGCAGTTGCTCATCGGGGGTTGGGTTGGGGTTCCGCAGTCTGTCGCTAGTTACCACCAAATGCAAAGGCTGATTGTCCCTGAAGCACGCCACAGGACCCAAAGCCATACACAACCCCACGGAAACTGTAAGCACTGGCCGTGTACCACAGCTATGTGGAGGAGCCGGGAGGCACTTGATACAGACGCAGGGGAAACATGCAGCCAGACAGAACGGCGCGCCATCAGACCCAATAGAAGTCGTCCGTAAAGTCGCATTCATTCTAACACCCGAACACCTTCCTTAGGGGGTGGACCAAAATGTCTACTCTTCCTGAGGTGGGCCTTCACATAGTCCATCTGCAGCTATTAGGCTCTTCGCCTTTTGTGTCTCAACCACAACGCCAAACCACCAGCTGCCTTCGGCTTCATGCGAAGTCAAAAGGCAGTGGCATCTAATACATGCGTTCAAACATATTGCTCTATTATACTTCAGGTTTGTCAAGTAGATTCAAGTGTGGTATAATGCGTTGTGAATGGATAAGCTTCTGTTTTGCTGGGGATATATGCATCCAACAAAGCGAATATACGTGTCCCATGTGGTCGTTGGGAGCACTTCAGCCTCAGCTGCCCATACACCTAGGGTCCTTGGGGGAGGGACAGGCACACAGTCGCAGTTTAGCGAAAAAAGTACAGCTTTATAAAAGATATAGCTCGCTTTCCCTCAGCGACAAATAGCAGCGAAAGCAACCGCATGGAACATGAAAGCACTTGGGGTCCCCCAAACATGGGCTTAGTCCGTCGACGTGAAGACGGCTACAGCGCAAGCGTTGCGTATCCACCAACGTAGTTATATCTATGCAAAACTTTGTGATACGCAGGGATACACCTGAGAGCAAAACCTGTGTGAAACAAAAGGCATCTGCAAGCTTGTACCGTTAAATCAGACTTGTACAATGTGATGGGTATAGCCTCGCAAGAACACCTGACCGTGCATGCAACTACACTTCAAAAAAGCCGAACGTAAGCTACACAGCTATTACCTACCAATATCTTGACCCATCTATTCCTACATAAAAAGCAGCCAATATAACTCCATACCATTACCTCTGAAATTGCTCAATCGTACCTAAATTCATCATATTCGTGCTTTTTTGTATTCCTGTTGAGTTGTTTGCCGTAAATTTGCACGTGGGCCCCCGCAACCCTCTCCATTTCCTTGTGGGTGCTGCCTCTGACTCCCAGTACTGCCTTCACTGCGTCTTTACCCATCGGGTGAAACGTCGTGGGTACCCACAAATCAAACAAGAATTTCCCTGCGCGCTTCTGCTGGATGCGTTTCTGGTTTTGCTGCGTTGGGGGGACACTGCCAGCTACAGACTCCGCAACACATCCAGGTGGAGGATCAGCAGCAGGCGACCTCATCCTATAAGTTGACCCTGCTTGGGGTCTCAAATTCTGTAGAGGGCCCCCAGACACCCCCAACCCTGGAGGCCACTCTGGTGTTACACCGCCATCTCTAACGCTGGAATTGTTGCAAGCCGCCGAAGCTCCTGCAAGATCAAGAGGAGGCACCCCCCGTAGCACCTCGGGGCCCTCAGTTGGAGATGAGGTGCGCGACAAAGAGGAATCCCTGCTGGAACGCGAGACAGAAGACATGGGAGTCAATACGGCAGAGAGCTCGCCTACGTTGTCTGCTCCTGCATGGGAGTTGCCCTTAGAAGGCCCCTGGCGATGCATAAACTCGACCGAAGGACTCCGTCTGCCATGGTTCTGCTCATCTGATGCTACAGACATCAACGACAGCTCCGAATCTGATCCCCCATGAGGACCTCCATCCACTACCCGTTGACGCTTCTTGAGAGTACCACTACCTCCCTCAGCCTGCCCACCCCGCCACCTGTTACCCCCTGGACCACCTCCTCGGGGCCCCCCACCTCGCCATTCAGCCCGTCCTCTTTGAGATCGGATTGTGCTCCCTGTACCCTCATCTGGACCCTGCCGACGCCAGGATTGACTACTGCGTTCGACCCCGTGGCGCTTGCTTCCTGAACCCCTACCCCCCGGCCCCCGACCACCACGCTGAGGGCCGACATGGACACCAACTGGGTGCAACCCATCGTTAGGAGGCATAATAATTGACCGCTCATGAGCCTTACGAGCTTCCTCTGCTGCAGCAGCACCAGCAGCAGCACCAGCAACTGCAGCATGGTGCAGTGCAAATGCGCCTGGCAATAGGGCGGGGGGAACTCCTCCAGGGAAGGGGCCACCTATAGGCAAAGGGATACCCGGTGGCATCATGAGGGGAGTGCGAGGGAATATTAGATGTGGCGCACCGGCACCGGGGGGTCCCACTGCTGCCATCTCCCTGTTGCCCCCCCCGGCAGCAGCTCGGCTGTTTGTGGCCTGCATGGTAAGGATTCGTGAGAATCCGTGATTTAACAGAGCAGCACGGCTCTTCAATTACGTTTACCCATGGCTTTCCCGCCCGTCGGTGCGAAACTTCGCAGACGGCTCAGCGAGTCACCCATGAAGTATGGAGGCCAAAAAGGCCTTCGCTTTGTCCATACGGCTACAAAGATATTGTAACAAGTCTGATATGTGGACAGATTCGCGCTGAAACGGGGCTGCTTTGCTCTATTTTGGCTAGACGCGGCCTGGGCAGCATGCGGTGGGTGAGGCTGCTGCAGTGCATATCGTGGAGAAACGGGACACTAAAACGACAGATGCCACCTTATAATTGGCGAGGCAAGTGTATTTTTTCCGCATATGACCGGGGATAATCGTATAACGAAGCCTCGCTCATGTGGATTTGCCCTGATCGGGCCATCAGGTGGCACAGAAGCTGTGCCACATGTAACATGCGAAGCCCCATCCAAATATATGACATCATTTGATGCGCCCTTTGCCTACTCTGGGGTAAAATACCCATAATACTACAAACAATCTGATAAAACAGCATGAAAGCAGTTATCTACGAGTGATGACAGCATCACTCGGCACTAGAAAACAAGCAACGCAATCAAACCCCACCAGAAGAAAAAAAGAAAGTATTAAGAGTAACTACGAGATTCTGACATATTATCACAGCCTGAAGACCCAAAGCAACAAGGTAAGGTCGGAATGCTGTAATGTGTGCTGCATTATTTATATGTCCCTCAAGCTACACATTGGTCATTTCTGAACAGTCTCCGTGTTCGTTGAAATCTTGATTTCAGGCCTGTAAAGCACCGCTGTCAGTATACAAGCATCTCTAAGCATGACTGGTTGAGCTCTCAGCTTCTCAAGCCTCGGATGCCACCTCCCCAAGGACACTTCTTGCAGCACTTCGCTTGGAGTGTCAATAGGGAGATACTTAGCCTGAAACATACTTTGAAATTTATACAGTTCTTCAGTGGTCTCCAGAAAAAGCTTCTTTCTCTTGCTACCCTCGCTCGTTAGGATCTTGGTATAAATAAGAAATGCAGGGTAGCGTTCTGTTGCTGCAATTTAGGAACACAGAACATCCAACAGCCAGTTGCACATACCAACTGGCGCACAGGCTAGTAACTTTAATCCTTATCGCTTTTGGCTTAAATCAATTTGCAATAAATAATATGAATACTCGAGTCAAGCAGTGAACTCATCAATATACTTTAATGGAATAAAACAAAAGCGGTAGACAGCGCCACAGGATAGATGGGCTGCAAGAATGCTTGATTTTTAATTGAGCAAGCAATGCAACAAGTCGTATACACAAATTAAACAGCTTGTCTATGTTCTCCAAAAAGGGTACTTTTTCTTTCCCCCATGCCATGCGCTATTGACTTGGAGCGATATAAGACAAGTGTCGTGTGGCTAGCGCTACCACAATCAATCAGCCAACCGATAGGCACACACGATATAATGATGCAATCAATAATATTTCATTTCTGGTATGCTTTTTTGATGCTTATATGCTGTATTCATGCCCGCCGGGTCTAGGTTATTCCATTTTTGAAACAGCTAAAGAGTTGCAATACGGTAGTGACGCAGTAACAACTTCACCCAGTATATGCATGTTATGCGAGTATCTGTATTGATGCTGCTAGCTCTTCAGCCACACACCGAGCTGTTCACTTGCATGTGCGTTTCGCGCTGGGTAGACCAACGACAACGGGCTTACTGCGGGCGCAACCAAGTGGACCTGTCTAAGACATGAGCGCAAATTAAACTTTTCCATCATTCTCAAATCTGTAATTCGCGTTTGATCTTTGAGTGAAGAGAGCGAAGATGGAACGCTCAATCCAAGGTCTCTGTCGGTAAAAACCGAACTCCAAACTCGGATACAAGCTAAAAAGAAAGGCATTTAGTGCTTAACGAAAGAGTTTGCTAGTTCGCCTTACCGATGCGCTCGGAGTTTCTCTGTAAGGGGGGAAGGGAAAGCTGGGATGCGCGCTTTTGCACTCTCGAAGCATTCCCAACTATTCGCAGATCTAGTGCACTGCAAAGAACACTGCGTCTTACTGTAGTCAACTAACACTACTCTGCAAGGAAAAATGTATGCGCCGACAAAAAAATTATTTAGTTCTCTATTAATTCTTAAATATACTTGACATAGTGAAAAGTGCTGATGGTAGCTAAGCCTGCGACAAAAATATATACGATATTCGCCCACATCATTCAATTGGCAAGGAAATGAAAGCCTGTTCTAAACGGGGCTACATATATGTGTCCCAACAGCCAAAAGTAACCATTCCTTCCATTCAGCAGCTGAGGGTACATGCATTCGTCCTGTAGTTCTGCGGCGCAAAGCCCCGGTTTGCCTCTACCCGCTAGCTGACATGTTCACTTCTACTTACTCTACATACAGATAACACACATTTACACTGAAAGATTTGATACTACGAGTAAATGGAACTGCACTGCAGGAAAAGTGTATGTATACAAGAGGCAATGAACGCACAGAATGGTGGCTCATCCGGCCAGGAGAGCCCATCTGAATGACACATTGCCTACTCCCACAGTTTGCTAATTGCAGCTTATCTGGCTGCCCCAAGATATAGCTGCAAAAGTCTGTTTAGAAGCGCCCAGTCGATGCTCTTCTCAGATATAAATGTATTGAATGTTCAAATAATTAATCAGCAAGCGATGCATACATCTCCTTGATCGGCTTCATGTATGCATCTGCCAGCTGGCTCCGGGAAACGGTCCGCTCATCCTGCTGTTTATTAATAAGCTTGTCAAAGATGCCAACAGGAAGCTCCACATCATGTGGCACAAGGTAAATAGCCTTAGGCCTCTCAAAAGACTCAAGGGACAGTCGCGTGTGTTCCTCAATCTGCTTCAACACAAAGTCCCTTAGTGCAGGTAGAGACACCAGATTTTCGTACGACGCTCCGTAATCATCTGAATACTGAGCACCCCAAAACGCAGAACATGCCTACAGAGAAGGTACGCCCATTTACATGAGAAGTGCAAGCTACGGAACTGCAGAGGAACTTCGACTAGAATAGCCCAGTTCCCCCGGAATTTCAGTCATCCAGAGAACTAACCCAGAGCAAGGTCAAATCTGCTTACTGCAAAACGAGTTTTGGCCCAGCGAAGAGCTGCACCTTTCCGAGGCTGGATGATTGCTACCAACGGTGACTGCAGTCGAACATGTAGAGTGGAAAGAAAGCAATATAATTGCGAGCAGCGAAGGGCAGGCAGAGACACAAGCCCTTATACAGAGGAAGGCGAGAGACTACGCTGACCCCGACCCAGAGACCAAATATGACAGTTGCCGGCAAAAAAGAAAATACTATCTCCAAGCACCAGCCCCTAATCCCATGAAGGGTTTCCCATAATGTAATGCTCATCGGACTTGAAAGACTTACATGAAAGTCGTCTGCATATAACAAAACGCGGCGAACAATGGGGACCTTCCTAAGTTGCCTTTCTGCTTCTTCCAGGTCGATGAACTCCCCTTCAGCAGTTAACACGCTTCGGGACAGGGTGCCGATCATCAGCAGTGGAAAATCACTTCCAGCGGAAGCTGCCACTAAACCTGTTCTATACATGCCTTGATTGGTTATCTGCCTCTGGAAAGCTGTTTGGTGGCGGTAATATCCTGAACACTCCGCAAGGCAATTGCACTACCGTTTGTTGGTACGCCACAGGAGACACAGCTGCTTTATGAAGCTGAAGGGCAACAACAGAATAATTCTGTGAAGCTAAGATAATATGCAGTCTAACTATCTGCATTGATTTTACTGAAGAAAAAAATTACTACCGTAGCGTATGCCTCCTCAAAGGTAGGAGATACAGCATGGGCTTCGCATTTCATCGCAACATTGTGATGGCAGAGGACATCCGTATGCAGGGTGCCCCAAAAAATTGACTTGAAGCTAGTCTATCCTAAATTTGTCAAGCATGTGCACCATACAAAAGAATCTGTTTGCCACGAAAGTGGCACTAATAGACAGTCCGTTATTGCACTGCTTACCCACAGACACGCAGGCCCCCTGGATCACAATTTCACCCCTGCACATCACAAAAAATTCGCAAATCGCTGTCAGTGGTTCTATCCGATATAAGGCAGCTGAACGATGTGCGAAGGTAGGCAATACCTATAATTGCAGAACATGGACTAGGCGTGCCTTATTAGTTGGAGCACGTGCTAAGACGGTGTGCACATATGCAAAGTGTGCGTGATACAAGATATGCGACTGAAATAGACGCATGTGCTTCCTGCCACTGTAAATAGCTAATAGGCTCTAAACCCACAAGCTGCGCATGGCTAAAGCGGAGCCAGGTCATGCAGTGAAATCGGAGTTGACACGCACTCTGTAACAACGTGGCCTCTGCGGTTCCCGACAGCGCTGAGTCGAAACCCATCAAAATCCGTGGCATCGCTCGCCAGGTTTTTGAATTCAGTGGACGCTTCACCGGACGCATCTAGAATAAGATGTGAAGTATGTCCCGGCCGACCCGACGCTCCATCTGCGTGGAACTCCATGAGGCTGGCCTCTTCTGCGGGACTGAGTTTCTCGAAGGATACGGCCACCACTGGGGACACCCAACCCAAAGGCGCCGCACGTATTCTCTGGACACTGCTAGAGATCAGTGATTCGCCATTCTGCTGCCTACTTGAAAACGCAATGCCGGTTTGAGGAGAACAGCAGGCCTACGAAGAAGCAGAAGAACTAATGAGTACGTGCTGAATAAGCACCTTTGTGAGGTCCGTCTGCACCATTGGTCGCATAGCTCGAATACGACACTCTAGCCGTACAAGGGAACTGAGGATATGTCGCAAAGGATGAGTTGCCAGGTCCTAACACAGCTAACACAGCATACATCCCTCCTCCCTGTTTGAAGACGTACATGGACAACGATTATCGAGTATAAAAGCTGCAACTCCTTTATAAGTTCGCTCGACGCTAACGAAGGGGCTGCGATGACAGTGTGAACTTTCGCGAGCAACATCTTCAGTTCTTTGAACGGCTGTGCACGCGCAGCAAGAAAGTCCACATACCGCCATAGATCTAAATATCTAAGATGCTATGTAGAGCTATTCTGGAACCACAAGGCACATGCACACTGGTAGTCGGAAATGTGTGTAGCTGCCAGGAAGCACTAAAGATGACGCATCGGGAAACTTCTAATGAGTTGTTCTTTGGTCGGAATTGCGTTGTACTCAGCTACTTGAAATGCAACTAACCGTCTGCCGAAGTAGGTCGAGATCCCCCGTCCGCCAATACGAACGCGCTCTCCACCGCAGTTTCAGTATAGTGATGAAACGACGCAGCCTCCCCATCTGTTTAAGTGCACGTCGAGCCTGCATGGTAATGTAGGCAACTGCAACCGGCCTAGCGAATCGCGGCATCAAACAAGACGTTACAGTGCATTGTGCCTAAGCTGCAGAGGGGATTTGCTTACGGCTGCATGTAGCAAATGTAAGATTCCTCCTGAAGCGGCAACAATTGTTGGATTTATGTAGCCTACATCTTCCTTCAAGGTGAGCAATCCCTGCGGCAGCAAGAGCTCGACTTCGTGTATCTACTTAGCAAAACGTTCGTATTGTTATACCTGCCCCCTTACAATCGCTGCTACTATTTCGTACTTCATATCGTATACAGTTAGCCGTTGAATCCCGCAGATATATAACTTACTTCGGCAAGAGGATAGAGCAGAATTTATATACAGATGAACTTGGTGCAACTACGGGCCCTTGCAGGACAGGGGTGGCGTTGCTGGATGTGAGCAAAATATGTGAGCGGAATACCAGCTAGGGTCATATCTATGACTCACACGATGGGCAAAAGCCATAGTAGCCCCTGCTCGAATGATCGCCAGATGAAGGACACGTTGATGAATCGAGGCTAGGGAGTCCACACAAAGAACCCGGTCAGCTACACGCACGCCAAAGAACAATCCACAACATATCGAAACTATGTGCGCCGCCCACTAAACAACAGCAAGCAACATATAAGAGCACTACATAAGGAGGGCGTGCTCCTAAATACAAAACCAGCAACTGAGTAGATATCTCAGAGGCAGTGGTGAACTGTTCACCTTCGACGATAGACACGGCTCCCACACTCCAGTCCGTTAGTGTGCCCAGAGAAGCCAAAACATTTTCATTTGTCAACATCGCGCCGTTGAATGGCATGGATAGGGCTGAGAAGAACAGCGCATATCGGCCGTGCATGACCTGTGGCAGCTGGAATCATGGCTCCTAGCTGGCAAAAGCTGGCTAATTCTCCCTTTGCATGGCCCTCGAGAATACTTCCGCCACGCAGCAGTGCCATGGAGAGCTTTGAGCTTGCGCCAGGCAAGAGATCTCCCCAAGGATTGACAAGAGAACAACCCGCAACTGCAGCGAAAGAAGACTCTGGACTACTTACCCCTGGGGTAGAGGACAGCATGAATCTCGGCAGCGTAGGAGCTTGATTGGTTAACTGCTCCCTGCCTCTGCTCCTCTACACTCTGAGGCAAGCGTAGGATACATTGTACAATGGCAAGCTCTGCTGCTCCACATGTGCTGCACACAGATGTAGCGAGCGATAGCTGTGAGGGTGGCTCATTCTACTAATATCGGATACTTCCCACGACCCGTCAACTGTTCGAAATCGAATGTCGCAAGCAAACAAGTGCTTCCCGGGGAATTACCCTTGCATTGGATGAGTCAGCAAGATCCCAGAAGTCCATAACGGTCAGTTGAAGTGCTTTAGCTCGTTGTAGAGCATGCTTCCCCACCTAAGGTATGCAGCAGTTGGTGCTAGGGCACAAACATTCCTGCTGGATTGTCGAGGCTTCCAACTCTTAAAACCACTTTTGCTTTGTTGAAGGCCCCAGGAGGCGTCTACAACTACGAGGAACTGACTATCATAGTATAGGCAACCCTCAGTATTAAAATTCGACGAGCAAACTATTTATTCATATGCAATCTAGGGGACCATTCGCCTATAACAATTACCGCGTCAAGAGAAATGACCGTCGAAAGGCTGGAGAGCTGTCCCTTCTCAAGCAGATCCAGCACCATATCAAGATGCTGCCAGTCGGCAAAAAGATGAGTCATTTCTGCAGGCACACACCAAGCCTCACAAGCAGCCTGGGAGCCAGCTACTTTAGTGAGGGAGACACCAGATCACTGGATGCTTCCCAAGTGCCGAAGCATTGGCTTAACCGCTGTCCGCCTGCGATTGACGTCCGAGAGAGAACGGCGTTTTTAGTTGTGGCAGCTGCTACAGATAGCAACCGCTGCCGCCGCAGTACAGTACTGACTCACGCGTATGCACCATGACTTCCAAAAATCGACGCGCATTCATATCGGGATGCATCGGCACGACCGTTAGGCCATATGCCGCGGCTACTCGCGCACACACAGAAGCACATATTATTCAACATGAAAACCGTTGCGATGATCAGATGTGCCCAAAGCATGTATATAGCGTTCCATCCACCCTTCTTCACACGCCGACGGCCCCAAAGGCGTGCATCAAATAGATAGTCTGTAAACTCCCAAGGACTTGCCACCAGCTTGACTAGCATCTCTATTACGCCTTACCGCCAAAGTCAGAGAGGAGCAACTCCACGGAATTAGTGGCCCACGTTCCCACAAGTCTTAGCGACTCGTGTACCCCGTCACGCTGAGGGAGCTGTGAATTAGGGACCATACTGTCGAGTGATGCGCCAATTGAAACGGCGAGCTCGTGGCCCTGCAGGACAACTCTGGAAACGAGAACCAAATAATCGAGGACCCTATAGTCCAAATTACTCTTCAGACTCTTGAGTGGCCCCAACACAATCCAGATTAGCACTCAACCAACTAGTTTAACACGCTGGGGAGAGCTGCCATGAGCAGTGTGCGTTAAAACCGTGCCTGCTGGTATGTTATCACGCCGAATTCATTCCTGTTGTCAGGTTGTGCGAACAAGAGCCACGGGGAATTCCCGAAGAGAGCCGCAGCCCTTCGCAGAAAATCGAAGCTGAGATAAATGCATCAACACATGCTTTCTAATCAAAAGTATCAAAAGATCTACAAGAGTACTTCCAGCTGTACACAAACCTCTATGGGTTTCGGCTCGAAGAAGCTAGCCCGCAGCAGTTAGCCCAGCCATACGGAACTCAGAGGCACTAGTGCCCGTACGCAGCGTGGGAATGAAGTCAACAAGTCAGTGTCAATTCATGCCGCAGAAACGCGCAGATTAAAAGAATGTAGCTCCGTCATCCTCATCCACCCGTGCGCGAGACGAGATACTGATCGACCTTTTTGAATTGATGAGTTTCAGATTGAGAACGCGACCACTCCACACGGCAGACGATGACCAAGATACACACCGCTACCCCGCCAAGCCGTCTATGATGATAAGACAAAACAGTACCAAGGATCCCAAAATCTTACTCGGCTACATTCAAACGCACAAACTACAAGTGTGTAGGGTAAGCAAGACTCACGGGCGCTTGATGGATATATTTTTATCTGTAACAGTTGTTGGGCCATCTGATAATGGAATCCAAGTATCCTCGAAGGGGCTGAATGCTATGTCTGCATGCTCGGTTCTGTTCTGAGCATCCGGATACAACTGATCCGTGGGTTTGGAAGGGAGCTCTTCCTGACTTGAGTAGGATTGGGTAAAATCAAGAGGTCCAGCGCTATTTTCGTCTTGAGGTAAAGGCGGAGATTTCCCGTTCTCCAAATCTGTTGGCTCCCATCCAGCAGCATCATAATTCCTCACGCGCTCACCCAGGTCCGTCGCTTGCTCATCCTCCCCTGGGGAATCGATGTGTGCCGAAACCGTCAGGATGAGGTCAGTGTGAAAGCTGGGTAGCAGCAAAATTATCCAGAGCAGCAAAGAGTGGACCAGCAGCCAGCTTGCAGTAGAGTCTCGATGGCGCTGTGCAGCCGATGATAGTGCTACGCCAAGAATACCCATTGCTGAGGCCAACAAGGTATGCCCACGCTCTGCAATGCCAATCAAGTCGCCCCTTGTGTATGGTGGCGTCCACATGCCACGTTTCCGCCCAAGACTAGCATGAAGCCTTTTCGTTTGTCGCCATAAACCGATACTTTAAAAATGAAACCGCCTGTTCTGCTTTCATGATTATGTGAAAATGGGTGTTGTAAGATCGTATGCAGTTTAAAAGCTGGCGAAAAAATGGCATTTGCCTGAGAAGCTGGATTCAATGGACAATTGATAGCTTTCTGATCACAAAATCCCTCGTTAGGCTCCGCAATCTCAACTCTGGGGGCTCAGGATGGCTCAATACTTCGGCTTACCTCTCGTGTACTATTATATATGCAGTAAAATGTGCAGCCTTCCCATCATAGTTCCTATTCATGGTCTAGTCTGGATGCATTGGAGCAGGGAGTACAGTGGGCGATCGATGCGCTCACTGCTGGCATGATGCGAGAGTTGGGAATTTTTCGTTGCTAGTCATAGTTAATTGTGGTGCCATAGTATTGTAACACAAAATCACATGTGGAATGTAAAAGAGCTCAAATTCTGAGAAAATTCATTGTCGACAGTGGACAATTCAGGGGCTGAGTAGAGGGCACAGGATACGCAAAAACGGCAGCGGGTTTCGTGGTTTCGGTGCCTTTCAGGATGTGTTACACGACGGCTAGATGATCTGTTGGATTCTTCTTTGCATTTAATTAGCTTTGCTGTATTCTTGATCGGTATAAAATCTTTTTGATGCTTTGCCGGATGCCTCCAGATTGTTGTACACAGTGGCTGCCCTTTAATAACAAATATACTGTCAGATACAAATGTTTCCGTTTCACCCATGTGTCATTTCGCTGCTACCAACATCATCGCCTGCAAGCTAAGCAGGACACAGGCCGCATCAGTTCAATAAGACACGATGTTTTGTTACATGCTGAGCTGCTCTTCACCCTAATGCCACGTTTCCTGCTTCAATCATATCTGTAAGAAGTTTCATGTCTCTGTTCCATTTAGAAAGCTGCTAGGCATTAAGACAACGGAGGCGCAATTTCTGGAGCGTGGCGCATGCAAAGCGTGCATTTCTACCGAGGGCGGGTTTTGAGCTGCTCTTGCTCTCCCAGTACCGGCATGCCAATGATCTCTGCCTTCCCCGTCACATGCAACCTAGGTGAAGGTGCACGTAGATGCATTTAAAGACAAAATGCAACTTGGGCCATGTGTTGCCCCGGGGTGGCTACTCTTTGTTCTCTTGTTCGTGTTTTGCTTAAGCAGCATTGTGTATTCGTTTGAATTATTGGCAACATGCCAAAGCCCACGTCTGTTCTTACCTCCGAGGAATCAGCACCCCGGCCTGCGGCTGCAGGGGTCTCTTCGAAGGTGCACCGCGTTCAAATGGCCGGCATCAAGAGTTCCTGAAGCCGTCATGCACAGCTCGATCGGCGTGCATTCTTCGTCTCCTGCGACGAGTGGGGATGATCCAGGAGAACTGTCGGTCTTAGGAATAAATGAGGTCATGAGGAAGCAGAACTGCCGAAGTCACAAGGCATTGGGTGCAGTGATGGAACTGTTTTGCTTCCCTAAGCCGAAGCTTAGCTCCATGTGTGGTCTGAGTCCTGCGCTGCTACCCAGAGGACAATCAGTGATGCTCCAGCTACAGGAAGGCCTGCGAAAACTTCAAAGGGAACAGGGATTTGAGGAGGTAAACGACTTTACACGCGGAACGGGTGCAATACCATGCGTGGCACGTATTCGTTCCTGGGCAATGTCATCCCAGCCGCAGAGGTGACCAGCTCTCAACGCATAAAGCTTTATGCTGTGTATACGTGGCGCAACTTATGTAGCCTGCTACCAAGATGTTTGCGTGCATGGAACTTCTTAGGTCCGTACGGGCTCATTAGCTCAGGCTTACCTGTGGCATCGTAGCGGCCACTTGAAGCACTTCTCCAGCAACATGTATGCCATAACGAATCCGAAGCCTGCTCAAGGGGCTGAAAGGGTCTCAGGCGAGGTTGACTTGGTGGATTCACCGGCGCAAACCGAGAATCAACTTGAACGAAACCGGGAAGATAATCTGTCTTGCGAAGATTTCGCGACATCCTATCTGTTGAAGCCAATGAGCTGCCCGTTGCATTTATCCCTTTTTTTCGACAATTCTGTGAGTGTAATCCTACTGAACCTTCCGGAAGATGATCCCCCTACGATACTTTTGGTGTTGAGGGGAATTCGTGGCGGAAGGGTTCCTTTCCGTCTATCCCGTACACCACACTGCTTCGCAGCAGGGGCTGTTTGTCGACTACGTTGGAGATGTACTGTGGCATGTCAAGCGGGTGTGGGCATATTTTAGGTAAGAGTAGGGTCTGCACTGCCCATGCGCATAAGCGAGTTCGGCCACGTGTACAGGAGAGAGGTGCCTAGTGCCCTATACGGCCTACTGCGCATGCGCGAATTCACGCAGGTACTCAGCGTTTACACGAACAACCCGATCCCTGAAGAAACCTATTAGCTCCAGTGGGACGTTTTGGGATCGGCTGCGTGTTGTGAACTAGGGGCGTATACGTCGTGTTGCTTAGGGGAAGGTTTTCCTCATGGCAAACACCCCAAAACATTTTACTGCTATGTGCAGGATGACGGTCATATTTTGTGCCGCATGTCTCAAGCGGCTGCTGAAGTAGATACTTTTCTCACTGCATGTCAACGATTGTACAAAGGAACTGGGTTCCGGTGGCGTGATGTGGCCTTTCGTCTCTCCACGAGGTAACCAAGTTGCCTATGTCAATAGGTGGTAGCACGCCGGGCGCGAAGGTAGCTATTTTTGGGGGGGCCAAAGGGATCATTCAAGGTACTTTCGGACGTTCCTACTTTCATGCCTTGTCGCTGTGTTTAGGTGTAGGTTTGTGGTTACCACATTGGTAAGCAATAGACTGTGTGTTGGATCTCCGCAGGCCAGAAAGCAGTCAAGGCTCAGATCAGGAGTGGGCCCACGCAGAGGTGTGAACTGCACCTTTTGCACTGATTGCATTCTGTGTGGCTCCGTATTCCAGCCTTGGAACGTTCTAGCGTCCTAGCTTGAGAAGATAGCCACATTGCTGAGAGCAGCCAACTGAGCAGGCAAAAAGTAATGGGGAATGTACATGCATTGTAGTTCGCGTCGTAAGCTGCTCTGTCGTGCAGGGATTGCTGCGCTCTGGCTTAGAAAGGTTGAAGCTCTCATTTACGATGGCAAGCGGGGAGGGCGCCTTTTACGGCCCGAAGATAGATATTCTCCTTCCAGACGTTGATGGCCGCTTGTGGCAAACTGGAACACTTCAGGTACTACTTGAAATAACATCCGGCTCTCTTCAGAGGCTCCCGGTGGGATGATCGCTGGTTTAAAAAGAAGGCAAACAGACAATGGAGGCGGGGTGGAGTGCTTCATTATAGCTACAGCACAGCGGCGGAGCGTCAGCAAGTTAGTGGCCTTTCTACATCGGCTGACTCGTCAAAGGCTGTCGTACGGTCTCGCCTAGCACACCACCTCAGTACACTTCCGTATAAACCTGCGACGGCCTATTGACTTCCTCAGGTCGACATGTTCTCCCCTCGCGCCTTTGGCCTCGAACCAGCCCCACGCAGTGATGACCCTTTGTGCCTTCTTCATCGCGCGATGTGCGGCTCTCTTGAGCGTTTTCTTGGTCTTGTTTTAGAATATACTAATGGGCATTTGAGCCCGTGGCTGGCAGCCACACAGGTACGCAAAAGTAGATTGTCGGACATTTTTACTATGCGCAGCTGCCTCCGGCCCTAAAGCACCCCAGTGTTTTTGCAAGTCTCCTCGCAGGTGGCAGTGCTCAGTGTTGGACGGGTGCAAACAGAGGAGGTAGAGGCGTTGGGTAGGCGGCTGCGGAAGGCTGGTATTCGCGTGTCAATAGACACACGCCCGGTGCACATTTCGAGAAAGCTAAAGTACGAACAACGCAGATGCTCAACAAGAAATTACTAGTATTTACAGTTTTCGGCAGCATTTACACCTCAGCTCCCTCCCTGCGATAACTGTCGTGCCTTCCTTTGGATGCCCTTTCCATCAGGTGTTTTTCTTAAAATCATGCGGGAGTGACTCAGGTTACAGCTAAAATATCGTACTCCAGAGGTGTGGCTATTGGGGGCGACAGACCAAGAAAAGAGCACCGTCACCGTTAGGAGGTAAGTCATGAGTGGTATTCTGTAGCTACTCAGTAAAGATTTGATTATATACTCGAGGCTTTGGTACCACTGATTGATCTATCACGTGACCCTGGCGTTAGATCTTTTCCTCTTAGCATATTGCAGTCCTGCTGCTGTTTAGTGCTTATCACTCTTTGTGGTGCGATCTATAGGTCTAATGGTCAGCATGTCGCCCTGCCTGTCGCAAGGGCACTTGCAGGGGCAAAAAGGAGGGCGAAAATGCCGTTTTAGTTGTGCGTTTCGTCATTGAAGTCATTAGGTTTTTGACTTAATCCTATGCAGATCTGCAGAAGTCGGGTGACATGCTGTCTACTTGTGGTGTTGCCCCAAAACATTTTCGGCGTTCACTTGGAGCGTATACTTGAGTCGGGCATCTTGTATTGTTGGGGCATACTCTAGATTTTAAGCAGGTCCCCTTACGTTTTATGCCCTGCAGTTCTGTCCTCCACAGTCTACGTGATCACACTTTAAGTCGTGCAGAACTCGTAAGCGTCTTACACTGGCATTGCTTAAGACCAATAACAAAGCAGCCATAAAGGTGGTGATTCGAGTCAACCCCTTTAGGTGGCGTGAAAATGTCGCAGGCCTGACCTTTTAGCATATCGCAGGAAATTTGCATTTGTTACTTGTTTCTGAAACCCACCTTATGTAAAGGAATTACACAGCTAGGCCTGCACGCACTTACGAAGCTTGATTACTCCTGAACTACGGCATTTTGAGTCTGCTCGTTTTACAAGGAAAGTGAGAGCGGGCTCATTAGAGATGTGAAGCATGCACTCTCCGGTCCACCTAAAAATGCTTCCTGAGGGTCAGAATATCTGTGTGCATTGACGGGAGCCGTAGACAGCGAGTTCAACACACCACCACTCGGCAGTGGTAGCAGGCAGTCGATTCGCTCAAATGTTACTTGGTACATTGGATTTTACAAAACACAGCCCCTGTGTGGGAACGCAGAGTTGCCCTAGTAGATACAATTCAAGAATGTCACGTTCCTTTTTCCGCATACTGTAAAGGCCAAAGGTATATGCCGACTTAATGGCCTGAATCACTCAAATTAAAACGGTTCGTGGCTTTCGCCGCTGCATTTGTTCCAGAAGGGATGCAAGGTGGCAGATAATACATCTTGTATGCCATTTCTACAGATCAAGCCCATGACAAGGCAAGTTCGCCAATTCTGATAGTGGCGAAGCAGGCTATTTCGGCTTTCTTCGTAGAGACAATGACGAGTACGACTTTACGAACCTTATGACTCTTTTCGTCTGTAGGAGTCATTAGGTGCAAAATGATGCGTGGGATCCTGTGGGTCGGTTGCGAAACAAGCCAGCAAGCATGGCCGGTTCTCTTGTATGTCTGTTCCTCTAGCACCTCAGGTGGGGCAGGCAACGAGTCCATGCAAGAACCCATTTCTCCTTGAGATCCGCTGCATGATGCACATTTACCTCAACGTAATATGAGTTATGAAACATCGACAAACAACAAAAGTCGCGCCCTTTCACCTAACCTGTATCGCAGTTCAATGTGCACTTCGACCTGCTCATAAGGAGGCAGAATGTGGGAATTATCAGTCATGAGAACCCATGCATTCTTCTCGTACCCGACATGGGGGACGAAGACACGCAGGTGGCTCCTTCTGAAAGCACATGCTGCCACAATATCTGCAAGCCGGCTACGCAGATACCTTCCAATAAATATTGCATGTCATTATGGAATCCTGTTAGGAGTAGGGTGGTCCGTGTGTGTCCGGTGTTTCTCGTCCTGAGGACGACACAGTCACCCCATCCGGACTGGTTTCTTCATACGAGCCTCCCGAACCTCCGTGACCTGTGAAGAATCCAAATACCAGTGTCAGCAAAGCGCTCAGAGCATCATGCGGGGGAAACCAATATAAGGCTCTTTTTGCCAAGATTTTAAAACACTATGATGATGCAGGGGGTACTTTTGTAAGGCTTACTGTAGTCTGTGATTGAGCTCCATAAAAGAATTGCGCCGTCATCTCCAGCGGATAGTAGACACACAGGGTTGCAAGAATGTACCCAGGCCACTTGGTTAACTGCTGCTGCGTGACCTCTTAGTTGCTGCATCATGCAGCCCCATACACGGTGCCATATGTAGATCTGAGCATCTGAGGGGCAGCCGAAAGGAATGCAGACATGACGCAACCCTGCAACTGGAAACGGGGTGCTACTGTTTGAGGCGCCGTCTATTCGCTGGATCATTTAGTCCTACAATACTACGCCCTGTTAATGGTGCCTGAGTTAGCTTGCATAAAGACCTCCTAGAGCGTTCGAAAATTTTAGGTCGATGACCATGTTGGTCTTCTCGATAGATTACCCTCTGAACCAGATATTACAAATTCCTCTGAATGACCACCGAAGGCAGGACGAATCGTTAGCCTGCCAAGTTTGTGGCCTCTATAATTCTGCACTGTTTTGCGCTCGTCCATGTCCCAGAGCTGCAGCACCTACGTTAACGTGGAAACACAGACCAAGAGGAAAAAGACGGAGCACGCAGCTAGAGTCACTCCGACTTGTGCATTGATGCTCACGGAGGGGAAGGAATACACAACACAGTTATGCTTGTTTCGACAATATGGGAAAAGGCTCAGAGCCCTGCTCCGACATTAGCATATTGGTAAGAAGCTTACTGGAGGGGTATTTGCTGTGCTTATCAAAATTTGGTTACAGAATTTTGAAGGACATGCTGCAACGACCAGATCTTTTCCATGAACCCTGAAATACGGCAGCACCCAAACTGAGAACTGAAAATTACCCTGCCTGCTGCGACTCTTCGGCCGCTGCCCTCTTTTGGCACCGCAATTTCTGGGGCAACTGCATTGACAGCAAGAGAAGTTACAGCAAATAAATTGGAGACAAACAAACCTCAAGTCCCGGGCTACACTCAGTGGTGCCTAAGGGCGAAAACATGCTGTCGGCTCTACTTGTACCAGAAAGTCTCTTCTTTAGTGACCAAATCATACACTTTGGCCTGGCGGTCAGCAAAGAAAACCATGACGCTTTCTCTATGTGGAAGGAGGAATCCTTCCTGAGGTCTGGCAGGTAGGATCCACTCGTATTCTACCAAGTGGGTTACTGCCAGTGTGGAAGCCTGAAGTAGCACCAATGTCATGGTCCTGTCAGATGCCATAGAAATCAATCGTTTGGATCCTGGTACCCACTGCAGTGCGACAAGAGAGCCACCATGGGTACAGTAATCGCCAATGCGCCGACCTTCTTCCCATGCCTCGATAAATGCACTTTCCCCTCCGGCCGCAAGGAGGGTTCCAGTAGTGTCCCAATCCAAGAAAGCAGCAGGGCTCGCAAGACGCTGAAGCCTCCAAAGTAATCGGCAAGTGCCAATTATCTGGCCTTTTTCGAGCAACGGACGGGGATGCGTCTGCTCAAGGCGCATGAGCACGTCGTTGTCTCCGTTCAACCAAGTAGAGAGCCATTTGGCACCCAGCTGCCCCCGGTCGAAGTGGTCCGTGGCTCTCGACTGTCCGGAAAAGGTGCTTTCCCATATGGAAGTGTCAGTGCTCACTTGCCATACACAAACCGACCTGTCTGACGATCCGGATGCCACCAGTACTTCATTTGTGGATGCTTGCCTTGGTGCTACTGAAATTGTCCATACTGCCTTACGGTGCGCGTGAAGACGCCCCACGCAGCACTCTGGGAAAAGCGGGATTTCACAACGGTGGGGTTCAAGAATAGTGTCCTTTGCGGAACACTGAGACTCATCGTGCAACGGGCAACATAGAATCTGAAAGCGCCGCGCATGAGCCAGAATCGTCGCTAGCCTTGATGGTTGCATAGCCACAACTGACGGCAGAAGGCAGGTAAGGCGACTAAAGAGCTGATTTCTGCTTAAGCTGGATATTTGCAGCACGTGACCCAGGAGGTCACTGCCCTGATACATAAGTAATGATGCGCACTCATGGACTCTCTCGATTGTCGCTGCGTCGAATGCTGAGGGTCTGAGATCCCCTGAGAATCATACATGTTCACAGAGGGGTTGTCGCTTTACTCGTGAGCACCAATATGGCATTCCGAAGCGAAGTGGTTCAAAAGAAGTGACTGGTACGGTGCTACTGTCGCAGCCTTACGCCTCAAACACTGCATCTTTGCTTCCAAGGAACTGTAAGGATCTATGACCAGCTCAAGGTATTTGTGCTGCATAAGCAGAAACCAGCACCCCTGCCTCGTCAACTGCTCAATTGGAAGACTAAGGAGAGACCTTCCGGCATCGACCCAGTTGCCATCCAGTACGTGTCGTTGTAGATTACGCATGTCAAGAGGGAGCAGCTCCACTCCACTGGTCTTCTCCAGAGAAGCCACGATATCCCTGACACATCAGCATCGCCAAATTGAGTGCATCCTGGAACTTAAAGAGCTGGCGAGCCTGTACACGCCTGTGTATTGATAGAATACCAGCAGTCTTTCTCGTGGTCCTGTCTGGTCACACACCTACCTGTAACCCATCTCGTCTAAAGTCTGGAGAATCAGTCTCAAGACTTCCTTTTTGTCAAATCCCCTCCATTTGTTACTAGTTTCGCCTTCCTTGGTGCCGGAAACATGCATCCCCGTTAATGGCAATGGTTGTGGGCGAGAGGCACCCCAACTGTCAGACGCTGTATCAAAGGGATCCATTATAGCTTCATACGTGCTCTTTTGCCACAGATAAAGGGATATTATAGAGATTCTGTGGGGGATAGCCGCTGTAAAGACATCGTGATCCAGTGGTACACCCACGTGACCTCAACTTGTAAGAATTACCTCTTAACTGGAAAGGCGCTTAGCGGGAATAGCGCTGAAGAAGGAGGCGGGTACCTGTGAAAGAATGCAAAAACTTGCGATAATGCGCCTGCTAAGACTAGCTGCTTCGCCACCCACGGTCTGGTCTTTCAGGCTAAGGGTTTATATGTGCATACAAGGAAAATAAGCCATCCTAGCTCCCACAGCATCAGAGGATGATTTTACTTAACATACACTAAACATGAGCAGTTGAGTCGCCTGTGTCGTTGGTAGGACAAGGCGAGCTTCCGGAGTGTGTTACCTCCGCCTCCCGGTACCGTCAAGCACAGTGACGCATGCACGTTGAGTGAATGGCCAGCAAATAATGGACTGTTGCCCGCCATATTGCCGCTTGTTGATTTATTTGCATATACTTTTAGTGGTTATGTGCATGAAGAGCTCCCGTTTTCGAGGTTTTTGGCGCTGACTGTGTCGCCACTACAGCACGTGTCTCCCTGAAAAGTGAGATTCTTCGCCTGCCGAAAACACCCCTTCCTACTGAATGCCATAAAACCGGGTGGATCTTTGGATTTACAATGGGGAGGTCAGTGCGTGCATGATTGAACTGCATCCTTCCACGGCTTCCTGATTAGTGGTAACCCGCGTGGCGAATCGCCTAGATGCAACTCCGTGCTGGTGCGACCGGCCACAAGAAAGGAGTGATCAACATAATGAGGAGATTTAGAGGTAGAATATGGAGTTGATCTAGAGCTGGGTACCTTATATGCATGCTGAACCTCCCCGCTGCCCTGGGTAACGACGGATAGTGCTCTACGTTGCCCATCTCCATGTGCGATCAGATTACAAATTATAAAACCACTAGCTGGTGGCAAACCTCGAAATTCTGCAGTGTATCCTGGCAAAATTGTAACGTGACTTTCAAACGAGAACAAAGTGACCTCCCACTTACGGCACAGCCGGCGACCACAGTCTACACGAGATGTATTGGAAAGCTCCACGATGTTCTGGGGGACACCTAATTAGGCTTGCTCAGGTCTTCTCACTACGGGGCAGCCCATTCGTAGAGCTTTAGTACTCTGAACTCTCCATCGTTGGGAACCTACGAGACTTAGAGAATAGTGTCCAGTCCCGAGCAGCACAATGGCTTTCGACGCGCGAAAAGCGTGGATCAAAAAGAAAGTAATGGGCACCATGCAGCTACAGGATCTCAGCTTATGGGAAGCCCTGATGTCCCGGGTAAGCGTGGGTGAGCTTTCGGGGAAAGGCGAATTCTTTGGGGACGCGGAAAATAGATCGAGCAAACCAACGCAGTGTTTGCTTACCCACATGTGAAATCCAGCCAAACAGCGATTCCGCCATCTATTCTTCAGCATGCAGCCACGGAGGCATTAATGAGGTTGGCAACCATTGTGAGTTACGATGAATGTGGAACACAGGAAGCGCACACGGGCGACAAGATACTACAGCAATTTTTGGAAGAAGGAAGAATAGGGACAGCATTATTCTTTGCCATTACTAAAGTTGAGGGTTCCCAAGTGAGTTGACACCAATACTTCGTCACAACAGACTGTGAAAAATTTTTTAAGTATTTGAAGTGCCTCAAAGGTGCATGCAACTGTTTCATCCATCAGCCTACCAGATTGCCCGTTCGTCAGTGCACATATGGCTAAAGGTTTGATCTAAGTCCCATAGTAGGGTGAGCACACCCTAAACTAGGGGGCTCCTTTGGCAAAGTAAAATGCACAGATCACGTTGCTTTTCAACGAAATCGAGCCAGGCTTCAACAAGCACAAGGCATCAGTGACGAACGCACTGTGCTTTCCAGACAGTGATTCTTGACATGGACACTAGGCCACTGAGAACATATAGCGATTCCAACGTCCAAGCCTACACTCTCAAGCTCTGCTCCGGGCAAATTGACTTAACTGGGAAGGTATGACACCAATGCGTGTGGATTCACATCTTGATTCTCGACTGCGAGGCTCTAACATACCCGCTTTTCCATGATGAATGACTTTGTTCCTTGTCAGCCCCTCAGTTGTAATGCAGTTAGGATACCCTGGCTGACAGAGGTAGCCGATGTGCCTGCGATTAGGGCGTGGAGGAGATGAGCCGCTGCATTCGGCTAGGCCTAACTAGATCTGATGTTCTCGATGATCTCGCCCTCCTGTTAAATGGTCTCCTTCTGCCAGTCCTGCATGGCCAAACTGAGAGTTCTAAGAGGGAAGAAATAGAGGAATGCAGTCAGGATTCGTCAGTAGAATGCGCCAGTTCACCGAATAGCACGTCGATTCCCACCCAACGTCTGAGATTAGGGCTTCAAGAATCCACGTTTCCGAACAACCCAGGTCTTCGAGAAAACGCATTGGTATGATGATGGTCAATTCAGTGCAGTTCCTTCCGTAGAATCGCCCAATGTTGGAGAAATTAGCACATTTAATCTGACGGCACTGTACCACTTGTTAGTTCGCATCCAACTATTTGTGTATTATCTAGGATACTGGCAGTGACGACAGTGAAGTTCCAGAGCTGTCTGAAACGTGCTCCGAAAGAGTTGCGCCCAAATCAACAACAGAGGAAATGACGAATGTTGGGCAAGACGAATATACCAAGGCATTTTCGGATGCATGTAGTGCGGTGGACGACCCTCCACACAGAACTAGTTCACAAGAAATTGCATATGGCATGGATCTGGAATTCAAGCACAAATCAGTAGGGGCCACAAAGGAACTACTGCAGCATATTTTGACAGCGTCAAGTAGAATGGCGGCGGCACTGCCAGTATCAGTGGCTGAGACCCCTCATTCAATTGTAGATCAAATTCCAACAGACTCTACTACGTTAGAAGAGACGGTATCTCGATGGCATAGCGTAAGCTAAAATTCAAGTTGGTTTACTCTTTAGTGTTCTCACTTACTTGGGAGCACTGTTGCTTTACTGCTGTCTGTTCCCTTTACTGCTAATTGTTCCTACTGCCGTACTACCTTGACCTTGTCAACAAATGACATGCTGTATGCCTTTGGGAATGTCTCTCAGCTAGTAACGAACCTCTTAGATACTGAAAGAAAGCGCACGTCAGACAACTTTCTTCCAGTGTCTGAGATCAACTTTTGGAAAGCCCGGTATAGACCTAAGACCACCTCAATTATGCTTTTGCCGCATGCGTAGAGTGGCTTTCTCCTACCACAGCAAGGCTTTTGAAAACTTTTACGACCTTGCATTTGAATCACGCTTCTTAAGAGCGCTACGCACTACCAAAAAATGTAGCTGCATCTTATTTGGTCTCGGTACGCATTCGCATATGCTCTTTGTTGTATTGCCTCAGGTATGCAGCGGTATCCATACTCTACGAGCTGCTTATCACGCCAGGGTGTCAGCAGGTACTCAAGCGGTACGAGCAAGCTTATCCAGGATCAACGGTGCTACCAGAGCTTAGGAAAGCCCTCGACGAGCTTGAGCATCTGAACATGGAATCTCTCAGCAACGTTCGCTTCCTGTCGACCCTTGAGAGGTCGTATCCCACTTAATATGCCAAAGTGTACAGATAGGCTCATATCGTGGCTGAAAAGCCGAATGATCAGCAGAGAGAGACTTGGGATGTAAGGCTGAAGTGAAAAATGTTGCACAGAAGTATGTCTTTGCTCATTTTGTGGAAAGCATTATTACCTTTTCTCTCGCAGGTACTTTGAAACATTAGAAACATGCGAAATGGAAGGCATGGCACGCACGATTGCCTCGCTCATGAATGCGCTACGCATGGTGTGGGTAACATCTCGGCATTTCACAACAGATGAACGCATGCAAGATCTGTTCGAAAGAATTGCATATCAGGTTGGTGCACATAACTGAATAACAGCATTAGTTTTGGAGTGAGGTGGTTTATAAGCACGCTGACACGTTGGAGAGGGTACTCTAGCTGTGCCAGCTGTGTACCCTGCGGCATCAGCTGGGAATGCGTGTTCACCAAGAAGTCCGTATAGACCAGCTTCTGAGAGGAGAGACCGCAGATGCCACCGTAATACTGCAGCGGTCTCGGATCATGCTTGAAACGTGGAAAGCAGAGTACTTCAATATGCGATCTCGTCTCGAAGAGTCAGAATGCAACCGAAGGTTTGCATAATGACTGAATAGCAGTTATTTGTCTTTGACCTTATCCTCCTAAAGCTGATTTTCTCACCCCTTCTTACCAGGTAGCGTCTTTTATTACGCTAGTTTGGTAGGCACTCAAAGGAGCGGAATAACTGTGCTTGTGCTCAGGTGGGAGTTTGACCGGCGCAAGCTCTTTCAGACTACGGATTATATGGCTTCAATGTGCTCCCAGTTTGAGAAGATTGCAAACGTAATTGGACAGTTCAAGAGGTTCATAGGCCCGAGGCTTCACTCTGTCACTCGTTCTCGCAGAGCGATTAACAGGCTCACTGGGAAAATACAGGTCTGTAGGCTGCTCGATACTATTTAAAATACAAAAAGAAGCATGCCGTATATGGCATAAGAGGCGCTTTATTTACTGCACTGGCCGTCTCTGTTTGTCCATGTCCAATACTTTGCGGAAACCGACAGTCACGAAACAGCTAAAAGAACACCTGCACCAGTGCGTACAGCAACGCAAATACCACCGTGTGAAACCTGAATGAATAAAATGTTCAGGCTCTGATTAGCTGTTTTGACCCCATTTCGGATCGTATTTTTAGCGAGGGATCTTCTGAAGAAGTTAGTGCAACTATGAAGAGTTTTTGGCAGCAAACCGAGGATCTAGAGGCTGAATGCATATTGTTTCTGGATACAAAATTTACCAAGCTTCGGTCAGCAGTCGGTGCATTTCAAATGTTGAAGGATTTCACCACTACGGAAAGCAGGCCGAAGATCAACATTAAACTTGAAGAAAAGTTTGTGGATATTTTAAAGCAATTCAGTATGCACTAGGCTGACACCGACTGCTACATGCATGTAGCTAGACCTCTTATCTAGCTGCTTGGTGCTGACAGCTGCAAAACGTGCTTTTGCTGCGATTCGCATCCCAGATACTGAAGTGGACCGCATGCGTAACTTGTTCGAACGCCATCATGAGAACCCTCCCATCCCAAACCATATGCCCCCTACTGCTGGTGCAATTTTGTGGTCAAGTGGAATTCTGCAAGCCCTGAAAACCAGTGTTTTGGCTTTTAAGCAAATGCCCGAAGTATTTGACTTCGATCAGGTCGAGCTCGTCTTCGGCAACTACCTGACCTTTGCAAAGGCGGTTACAGCCTATCAGAAGCATAGGGTGAAGGAGTGGCAGGTGTGCTGGCAACAAAGATGTTAGTGGTTTTGGTCGTGTTAGACGATGGTTACGGTGGAATCACTACATCCTTGATTCGCAGTATCACAGAAGGCATTGTCAGTGAAAGATGGTATTAACGGGGCTTGTTAAATAAGAGTTGTGGTCAAAACTGGGCAGGCTAATGCAGCGGTTGCTGCGACGGAGTGTCTCAAATCGTACGTTCTGCGGCGTGAAGCCAATGGAACTTACGCAGTTAATTTCAGCCCCAACGTGTGGGTTGTAATGCAAGAGGCTCGCCACCTCGATCAACTTGGAATAAGCGACGCCCCAGCAGCTGTGGTAAACGCAGCGCTGCACAAGGTGAGGAGCACATGGCATAGGTAGCAGGGACTGGTCCACAGTCGAAGTGGCGACATCCCGTGAAGTATACTTCTGATGCTATCTTCACTACTGTGAACCACCAGGAAAGGTTTTGCCAGCATTATGTACTTCTGGAAGGGCTTGTGAGCAAGATCAACACCACGCTTTCGAAGATAAACCCCGGCAACCAAAAGCTGCTTTCCCGCCAAATAGCTGAACTCCATAGGCAAGACATAGCTACGCATCCCCTTCGACGTTTGCGCTTGAGGTTTCCTTACACGTGGAAGCACGAAAAATCTATGGAAAATCCAACCTGCAAAACAGCATGACGTCTGCTGTGCCCAGCGTGTAAATCACTCTGGTACTGGCTTCACCGTGCTACCACACCGCGTAGTAACCCCAAGCCACAATGGGTGTACTCTGGGCTACGTGGAAATCTCTCTGCAGGGCTGTCCTTCCTGGCCTAACCACCTTAAATTGGACAAGCTTAGGGCTAGAGGATTTTGCGGGAACGTGCCGGAAATCGCTGATAGTCTTCAAAGCTACATGCGAGCAAGTTTTTAAGAACGTTGAGATCATTGAGTGCATTGTAAAGGAGATAGAGGACGCACAATTAATTAGAGATCTCAACTGGTACTCCTTCGAGCCACTCACAATACAGGTGCGTTGTTGATACCTGATTACGATGATGCCAAGCCAGAAGACGAGGACTTTAGTGGTGACGGGTGTTCGTATTTTGTTTGGTGCCAGGATTTCTACGAATTCATCGAAGCACACAGAGCGCGAGTAGTTGAGACGCTGCAAGCAAGATATGAAGCAGTTACCTCATATCTGGTAAAGATTGAAGAGCTTGTCGAAGGCCGCACCTCTGGCTCTAGCGAAGCCATGGGGGGCTACTACTACTATTGGGAACGTCGAATTTTCAATGCAATAGTAACAATGCTCGTTAGAGGCAAGCGACACTACTGCTCCACGCGCATAATGGGAAAGCCCAAATTTATCTTATTATCTGTCAATTTGATGTTAGCTGTTTCATAAGGACGTACTTCTCCTCGATCTTGCATACTGTATGTGCCTTTCGCTTCCTCACTGCAGCAACAAGTCGGTTCCGAGCATTTTTCAATTTGTCGCCGGCAATGAGCCGCTGGCCACCAGTGCTGCGGGTGACTACCGAGCTTCATGACAAAGAAGTTGTTATACACAGAAGTACTCAAACAATATTCAAGACCATATCCAAGCTTATGCAGAACATCATTGCTTCATCTACGAAATTTTCGAGATGGATGCATGGAACGTGCAAGTGCGGCTCCTATTACATGCGCTTGATTTCATTCATTTTCTCACGACAAAACACTTTTTACATGCAAAGCAGAGTAAAGCGTCCTCTAATTGATTGATGTTTTATCAGGTGCGTTCCCATACAGCAGCTTCCAGGGGATGAGGCAGCAGCACTCCAATTTACGTTCTACGCCGAAGTCTCTCGAATACCCGCACTAATCAATACAACTGTTGCCACTCATCAGGCTATTCAAAGAGTATTCCAGGTGACCTTTGACACCGCGAAAAGTTGTTCCGTTGTTTAGCTGCCACTTGTTAACTCGAATACAAGTATCATATGACCATGGGTACAACAATGTGAATGTTGCAGCACATAACTAAATGTGTCAAAAACTGGAGCAAGTATGAAGCTGATTGGTTACTCTGGAACCCAGATCGTAAAGCTGAATTGGACCAGCTCATCGCGAAAAAGCCTAACGTGTTATATTTTGACGTGTATGTTCGGGCCTACGAGAATGTGAGTTGAGGGCATCGGTGTCGGCTTGCTACCAAACTTATGACATGCCTGCAGTAGCAAATTCACCATCTAGAAAGATGCCTACGTTGCCGTTGCGTGCAGCTTGCGTCAGAATTAAGCTCTGTGCCAAAAGTTAAAACCATTGGTTTCATCCAACTCGACTCTTCGGAGGTCATTAACGGAATTCGGAAACAGGCACTTTCGCTGAGCAAAGCCTATGCTGCTACACTCTATCAAATAATGAGGCACGAGACGACAGATCTGAAAACGTTGATACGCGAAGGACGGTAGGGCAACTCTTCACACGCCCTGATAAGTTCTGCTGCTAGCGGACTACTTTTAAGGAACAATTGTCAGATTACAAGCTGTTCTTGTTGTAGGGGAAGCCTTGAAGTGGAGACAGACACACTCGAAAGATTTAAGCTGTTGATGCAGTCGCTACTCGCCATTAATGAAAGTGCCATGGATGCAGAAATACGCCTAACAGAAGTGCAAGAAATGTATAGGACTCTACAAAGCTACAAATACCCTCTGACTGAAGCCGAAGGCCTGGAATTAGCTTCCCTTCCGCAAGCATGGAACGAGCTCAGAAACGTAGCTCACCGCAGGAAAAAGCAACTGTCATCTATTAAAATGAAGTTTGCTGGTGAAAAACAGCAGGAGGTAGGAAATGGGGATGACTCCCTCTTGAGTTCTGTTCTTCACGTAGGCTCGATAAGAAATATCTATTTGAAAAATACGTTATCTCCTTGCCCTATTTTCAGGTTGCTGCTTTTATCGATGAATGTAAAGCGCTTCAGCGGAGATTTCAGGAAGGCACAGAATCAGCAGACACGACATTGCAGGAGGGATTGGGGGTAATAACAGCGATTCGCAAAGAGTTGGCCGAGTTCAAACGACGGGCAGCGGATCTTAATAGCGCTGAGAATATGTTTTCTCTCCCACTGACTAACTTTCCTGTGTTGGACACGCTGGAGAGAGATATAGGCGAGCACGAGCAACTGTACACCCTTTATACTGATCACGATGCAATAATAAAAGAGTGGGCTTCACGGCACTGGGCGAAAGTTGACTTCCAAGTGAGTACCTAGTCAGCACCTTAAACGTCATGTATGTTACAACATGCGCCTCCTCTCCAGCAGCCGTCCAGTGAGCGCACATCAGATGTAGTTGGTCCGCTGGGATGGGTAGATGTAACAGTGCACTTTCGTGTTTCCCATTCTATCGCACATTGTGTGATTCAGGAGCTGCAGAAAGCACTTGAAGGGTTTAAAAAGCGGCTGCAGAACCTTGCCGCGGGCGAAGCCTCTCGCGCTACAAGCTCCCCAGTATGCTGAATTCTACAAGAAGACAAGAGTAACGTTAAGTGAAAGCATTAATGGCATGCGAACCAGTCTGGAATGGTAACACGGGTCAATAGGGGTTCCTGGCAGTGCAAGGAAAGTATATGTGTATTCAAACGGTGTCGTGCAGGCATACCTGAGAGTAGTACAGGTCATTAATGGATTTCGAAGTCAGCTGCCATTGGTAGAACGCTTGAAAAACGAAGCGATACGGCCACAACACTGGAAAGAGCTGATGGGTTTGGCAGGGCAATCATTTGATGGCGAAAACCAGAATTTACGCTTACAAGATGTCTTGGACCTGAAACTAGAGCGTTTTCCCGATGCCGTGAACGAAATTATTCAAGCTGCCACTGTACGTACTCGACAAGACCATTCACTGCGAGCATTGCAAAGTCACCAGTGTTGCAACAAGCTTCTAGACTCTAAGCTTACTAAAGCCCGCGGAGCTGGGAATTTCCACTACTTTGTATTAAGGCTGTGTCTCATTTCATTGAATCGGCAGTGTCCATCTCAATGGGTCTTGCAAGTATGTTCAAAGGCAATGCAGCAAAGCGTGTGACACTTGTTTAGGAAGAGCTGAAGCTTGAAAAGGATATTTCTAGAATTGAGTCGTGCTGGCGACAACAAGTTGTTGAAACTACGAAGTACAAGAATGATGAATCCAGATGGGTGTTAAAATCCAATGAAGAGCTGCGAATGCTGCTAGATGATAGCCTGTTGCAGCTTCAATCCATGTTGAGCTCTCGATTTGCTTCTGGTGTGATAGAAAAGATTCGCAAGTGGGAGAAGTCCCTTAATATCATTCGCGAAGTGCTTGATTCATGGCTTCAGGTAATACAATTGGTAAACTGAATGTTCAACACTAAGGTGACATGCAGGGCTTAGGTATTGTTTCTGCGGTTACAATGTACTAAGACTCAGGCTAAAACCATACGAATATTGCCTTGAAGAGGTCTGATAGCCGTGTCCAGCTGGTGTTCTCGTTGACAGGTGCAAAGGAAATGGATGTACCTTGATGGGATTTTTACTACATCCATTGATATTCGGTTACAACTGCCTAAAGAAGCCAAAAGATTTGACGCTATAAACCGCTGCTTTCTTTCCATAATGAAACAGACAAACGAAAATCCGAACGTCCTCTCCGCATTTTGTGTCGAGAAGCGACTTTTGGAAATGAATAGCCTGACGGAAGAACTCGATGGCTGCCAGCGGTCTTTATCTGATTACCTAGATGCAAAAAGGATCCTGTACCCAAGGTAAATTTTATTTGTAGGGTCCCCAATCATTCCAAGTATTAACGGTCAGTGTACAAGGCCATCATGCCCAACTGCGTAAAACGTACGATTCGCAGGTTTTACTTTATTTCAGATGATGAGCTACTATCAGTGCTTGGATCCAGCGGCTATGAATCAGTGCAACCCTTGATGCTGAAGCTTTTTGACAATTGCAAAGAGCTCCAGATTAATGCTTCAGGACAGGTGACTCATGGGAAAGCACGAGCAGGACATTGTCAATGTGCACCGTAACATCCCATTGCTCCTTGCTGCTGCGCAGATGAGGCATGCCTTTAGTCAATGCATTTCAGGTTTCAGGAATGGAATCCGAAGAAGGTGAAAACTATCGTTTTATCGAGGCCTTAATGCCTGAAGGCCCAGCTGAGGAATGGATGGCAACAGTGGACAACGCTATGAAACAATCGCTTCATAGAATTGCAAAAGAGGGCATATACATGTATGGCTGCAAGCCTAGGTGAGTCGCTAAACCACAGCACCTTGCTCTTTACCTACAGCCGGCCTTATGGTTTCCCTTTCGTGCTTCAGGCAAAGGTCTAAAAGCTGTGCGTCTTCTCAGGGTTCGATGGGTTACCGAACAGCTTGGAATGGTGGCATGTGTGGGGTCGCGCATCTGGTGGACCTGGAGGGTTGAAGATGCTTTTCAGCGTCTAGATCAGGGTGACAAAAATGCACTCCGACATGAGGCAGCAATTCAGCGCCAGCAGGTAATGGGTTCCTGTGTACGGTAAAAGCTAGAACTCTTTGAATATCATGCCGTCCTTAGTTAAGCCTTTGTCAATTAAGAGGCCAAAAGCTGTGCTTTAATCATAAGATGACGATCTTCTATGGGTTACCATCCCTAGTCAGAGCATGCTCTCTTCAAAATTATGCAAACTTCCATCACGTTCAAGCGACTTGTCTCATTCCATTATTCCTTGGTTTTGAATTTTTTCCGTAGGTTTCCGCTTTGATCGAGGTCGTACGCAAGCCGCTAGAATACAGGGACAGGAAGAAAGTGAATACCCTGATTATCCTGGACGTGCACGCAAGGGATCTCATAGAACATTTCGTCGAAAAAAGCGTCTTTAGCGCAAACAGTTTTGAATGGGAAAGCCAGCTAAGGTTTTACTGGGATATGGAAGCAGACGATATTGAAATACGACAGTGCACGGGGAAGTTTCGGTAGGTAATAAGACGCGAGTTTGGCTCCCTAATTTCCCACCTATACTGGTTCCTGCTCGACGCCAATTATGTGCTGCCATCAGCCGCTCAGTTTGCGATGTGCTATTCAGATATGGATATGAATACCAGGGTCTCAACGGCCATTTGGTAATAACGCCTCTGACGGACAGATGTATTATGACACTCACAACAGCACTCACATTTTGTTTGGGAGGTGCGCCAGCTGGGCCAGCTGGGACAGGGAAAACAGAGACAGTGAAGGACTTGGCAAAATCCTTGGCAAACCGTTGTGTTATACAGAATTGTGGGGATGGCTTGGATTACCAGGCAATGGGAACGATATTCTCAGGGCTTGTGCAAACGGGTGAGCACCTGAATGATGGCTTTAGATATGACATTTTTCAAGAAAACATTTGTTTAAAAGACCTATTGTACATTTGCATTCTGCCAGTACTGGTTTGTGTTCTTGCTTGTTCTGCTGCAACTTAGGATTTTGGGGATGCTTTGATGAGTTTAATCGTATCAATCCAGAGGTATTGTCAGTGGTTTCAGCCCAAATCAAAGCTATACAAACCAGCATGCAGAATGGGAAGGGATCTGTAGAATTGCTGGGTAAAAGCTTAACGTTTGTACCGACAGTGGGAATTTTCGTCACAATGAATCCTGGATACGCTGGACGGTACGCTTTGACCTGGCTGCTACAGCTTCATGACTTTAACGCAAAGATCTGATGCTTTTGCACGCGAAGCCGCCAGGGACTCTAACTAATAATTGATACTGAATGGCATGCTCAGGTCAGAACTACCCGACAACCTGAAGGCTCTATTTCGCCCTGCAACAATGACAGTGCCGGATATGGCAATGATCTGCGAGATCATGCTCATGTCAGAGGGCTTCCAAGAGGCACGGATATTCGCAAAAAAGATGACCGTTCTGTATGAGCTGGCTCGAGCACAGTTGTCCAAGCAGGTGAGATATAGCACTGTGTTGCTCAGAGTGGCTTTGCTCGTTCTTCACAGACCCAGAGAAGTCCGCATGGTAATGCTTGTTCGAATAATGAGTTTGCAGCACTTCTATGACTTCCAACTGAGAGCGTTGAAGGCTGTATTGGTAACTGCTGGATCTATGAAGCGCATGGCGCCAGAATCACCAGATGATCTGCTACTCATACGGGCCCTCCGCGATATGAACATCCCAAAACTTGTAAAACCGGATGTTTCACTGTTTATGGGCCTTTTGGGTGATCTATTTCCTAATGTCCCATGCGAAAGCATTACTCAAGAAGGCTTTCACGCAGCCATTCTACAGGTAGGTCAGTGAGAGGAACCGCTTGGGCATTGTGGAGGCCCCACGCAGTGAACACGAGATCTACGGCATTGCCGAACGATGCGTTTTGTAGCGGATGTGGCCTACACCTTAACTCTTCACTTCCTCTAGCTAGTTTGAAGGTTTTGAAATCACTCTGTAGGTGCTTACTCTTGGCTATTTCCCGGACAGGAGCTTGAGAGAAAGTGCCTAAAGCCACGATCAAAGGCGGTACTCGAGAACCAAGTTGATAAGATCATGCAGCTGCATGCGACAATGGAATCCAGACATGCAACAATGGTTGTTGGAACGACGGGTGGGGGAAAGACTGTTATTATCGAAGTCCTCGCAGCCGCCCACAAGGAGGCATTTGACGAGCCCGTCAGAGTCTTTCCGATCAACCCCAAAGCTCAAGGAGTAGACGAGTTATATGGCGTTTTAGGTAGGCTGCAAAGTACAGTGTGCTACTGTAAAACGCAGCAAGATGAGAACTAAATAAGAGAGGCTTCAAAAAGCTGTACCTTGGTTTCATCCATTTTTAGCTTTCTTGCTAGAGTCGAGGTACATGCAAGGTAAACCAAATCACCATCGAATAAATAAAAACAATTAAGCAGGTCATGCAAGTTGTGGGGCAGCTGGTTTGCTCTTTACTACTAGTATTAGATTAGTCTTGCTTACAGGCGCACTTTATCAAGGTACGAGTAATACGTAGACATACTGGTAACCGGCTTTACCTTGTGCGCGTTATTGTCAACTACGCTCCTGCCAAATTCAGTTTAACTGTTCCCCATATCTCTAGCATTTCGATTCTTGTTGTATGCTTTCCGTAGACCCAGTGTCACGAGACTGGACCGACGGACTGTTCTCGAAGATTTTTCGGGATGCCAATCAGCCTTTACCGCCTAAGCGAAAAGAGAAACGAATTATATTGTTTGACGGCGACGTGGACGCCGTTTGGGTAGAAAGCATGAATTCTGTTATGGATGACAACAGACTTCTTACGTTGCCAAACGGGGAGCGCATCCGCTTAGAAAAGCATTGTGCTCTTCTTTTTGAGGTCAGATTCAAAGCCTTGTTTTGCGTGCTTGATGCATCACACCTCGGTATTTTATTTTCTCTGCTGGCATGTGTCATACGCATACCTGATTAATACATTTCTTCAGGTTTCAGACCTGCAATACGCTTCTCCAGCAACCGTCTCGCGTTGTGGAATGGTATACGTGGACCAAAGAGACCTCGGCAGTGGACCTTACTACGACGCTTGGGCTAGGAGCAAGCCAAGCGCAGCAATGCTTGAATCGCTGGACTATTTGTGGGACAAGTATGTCCCACCAACTCTTGCTTTCCTAATGCAGGATACAGGAAGGGAGGATGAAGCGCCTCTGCCAGTGAAGTGCATAGCTCGAACGGACATCAGCATGGTATGATAGCCTCCTAGCAAGGTAGATTGGTTGAGCCACAAAATCGAGCTCAGAACTCGAAAGGAGCTAGCAGAGCTCCTAAAGTACCGTAGCATCTTTGGTTGAAGGAGTGATGTTAGCATCTTTGAATATAGTGTGCAACAATCAGGTCGCACAACTGTGCAAAGTAATGGACCTGATGGTCTCAGAGGCGGAATATGCAAAACTACGTCCAGAAAAGCTAGAAAACGCGTTCCTCTTTTCTTTAGTCTGGTCATTGGGAGCAACCCTCATAGGAGAAGAGCAAGGCCGCTTCGACAAGCTACTTCGAACGTTGTCGGGGAAGGCAACCTTAAATCAAAGCTTCTTCGACAGTTTCTACGACTTCGAGACAAACTCGTGGCTTTCATGGGAAAATCAAGTCAGCTTTTAAGCAGCTACTTTGCAGTCATTTACCATTGATCTCCTCACATTCTGCCCTCCAAAAATGGCCTGCGACGCGTGTACTAATTACAGTGCTAGCCTTAGCAGCTTACAGTGCACTGTTTCCCGCTGCTTACAGATTCCGAATTATTCTCCAAAGCCGGGAGCTTCATTTGCAAGCATTTTCGTGCCAACAATGGACACCGTTCGTGCTATTTGGCTTCTTCAAGGCTTTGCTTCAAAGGCGCTACCCACCCTCTTCATAGGCGAATCAGGTTAGTTGCAGTGTATGAATACCTTCAATATTGTGTGGACCTGCCATCTCAGTGCTGTTTTCAAAGTTGAGTGGTTTTTCATAGTCTTGTAGGTCTCAGGCTGCAGCCAAAGGCACTACACAACAAGCTTCACAGGACTTTGCTACGCCAATTAGACAAAGAACTGCAGTGTCAGATGTATTCAACACCCTCAGGAACTGCGAAGTCGATGATGACAAAAAGCTGGCTCAGTCACCTCCATAGTGATGAGTTTATGCAGCTGCAAATGAACTTCAGCAGCAGGACTACGTCTCTTGATCTCCAGAAGGCCATTGAAGATCACATAGACAAGCGTGTAGGGCGTATTTATGGGCCTCCTTCGGGCAAAGTGCTCAAAGTATTTCTGGATGACCTCAATATGCCCTTGGTAAGCAATGACGACTAAGTCTGCGGATACTGTATGTATGGACACCGCCGCCCGTCAAAGAGCTTTAGCTGAGTAGCTGCAGATATTTTCAGGCTTGTACGTTCTGCAAGAGTTGTGCGGCACCAGCATTACATTCGTTGCATTCTCTTCAGTCTACTTGCAGCCTCAAGCGTATAATGCGGCTGGCTTCGTGCAGTAGCCAGTGTTGCGTCTTTTGGGTAGCTTTCCCACATTTATTTTCGTAGGTAGATACTTATGGAACACAGCAACCTATAGCCTTGATGAAGTTTATGATGGAGAGAATGTTCTTGTACGAACGAGGCAAATGCCTTGAACGTATAATTCTGAAAGACGTTCACTTTCTCGGGGCCATGAATCCCCCTGGCAATGGCGGTAATCCAATCGACCCAAGGGCTGTATCGCGATTTTTTTGCTTCAATATCAATTTGCCATCGAAGAAGTCAGTTAAACGCATACTTTCTGCAATCCTCGATGAAAAGTTTTGCAATGAGCCCCAATCACTACAGGCAAGTTTTCTGCACAGAGCCCTTGTGAAGCAAAGTACCCCGTGTGCATTTCGAACATCCTCTCGGTTTCAAGAAAAGTGTCCTCCCGCGCCTTTATGCCATGACAGAGGTGCTTTGGCGCTGGAGCTGTGCAGGCGATTCTCAAAAAGTTACCCGAGGCTACTTTGAGTCTCTACGAGACTGTGGTCAAAAAAATGACCCGCACGCCAAAAAAGTTTCACTACATTTTCAACTTGCGAGACCTCTGCCGCATATACCAGGGCATATGGCACGCGACACTGCCTACGTCAGCAGACGGAAAGGCAATTGTGCGCTTGTGGAGGTAAGGAAGAGAACTGTTCAGCCGATGACTTTACCGCATGAAAGTACGGAGTAAGGGCAGTCGAGATGAGGAAGGGTTCTGTATAATTCTGAATCACAAGGAGAAGCAGATTGGTATGGATGACAGATTGTAGCTGCACCTGGCTCCGCTGTGAATTGGGTACAGACATGAAAGCCTGAGGGTATTTGAAGACAAGCTAATTGACGAAGCGGAAAAGATGTATCTAGAGCATACATGCATGAAAAATATTGTCCAGGAAACCTTTCCACAATTTTCGGATTTTGCGCTGAGGAATCCCATTGTTTGGTCGGAGTTCCGAAGCGCTCTATCGCTTTTGGAGGCCGAAGAGAAGGCTGATTCTTCAGTAGGGGCAACCTGGTACCGATTAGCCTTGGCTTAGGATATATGTGGTAGCCAGTCTTGACGAAAATACCGAGAATATAAATGCATTATTACTAAGAATAGCAAGTTTGTACTGAATTGAATGCACCGACGAATGTCTCAGAATAGAGCGTATGACGACCATGCATCCTTTGAAGAAATCCGTCCGCTACTCGAGCGCCTCTTGGAGATGCACAATTTTGATCGGAAGCCCATGAGTTTAGTCATGTTCGAGGATGTGATAGCTCATCTCACCCGCGTTCACAGAATAATCCGAATGGACAGAGGACATGCATTACTTGTCGGAATGGGAGGATCTGGTAAACGCAGTGTAGCAACCCTGGCAATCTTTATTGCTGGGTAAGAACTACCTTCCTTATACCTTTTCGCGAGTCCTTTGTTCCCCCTCTAAAATAGAAGAAATATAGGGGAAGCCGGGAACCTGTAGAAACTCATTGTTGCCTAGTTGTGGCATTATCTCACCACAGATATAACCATTTCTCACTTACTCCGATGAGAAACTACGGAGAGCCGGATTTGAAGGAAGATCTCCGCAAGCTTATAACGTTGGCGGTTACTAAGAGGCAGTGCTTGTTGTTTTCGGACGCCGACATCAAGCACGAGTGCTTCCTTGAATACATTAACAACCTTTTAAATGTTGGTGTTATCCCAGCCCTTTTTTCCGAGGACCAGAAAGATGACCTCATCGGCATTATTAAGGGATCTGCACGGGTAGATGAGACCAGAGAAGACTCACTGTGGAGCTACGCAATGAACAGAGCTCGAGATAATCTACATATTATTCTTGCCATCTCGCCCTCTGGCGACACATTGCGGAACCGTTGCCGCAGTTTCCCTGGCCTGATATCCTGCACAAGTGTGGACTGGTTTCAGCCATGGCCATTAAATGCACTTAGCGCAGTCGCTAGAGCACTTCTACAGCACGAAGATTTACCACAAAAACATTGCTCGGCAATCGAAGAGCACATTGTTGGTGTTCACGCCAGTGTTACCACAGTGTACGCACCGGACTTCGAGAGAAAGTGTGGCCGCACAGCTTTTTCCACTCCAAAGAACTACCTTGACTTCCTCAAAACGTACAAAGGCATGCTGCAGGCAAAGCGCTACAGTATTCATCAGCTTAGCACTAGGCTTGAAGGAGGGCTGCAGAAAATGAATACTGTACGTTTTGCGTCAGTTTTTTCCAGCCTTAAACCCCACACCGCCAGAGATGTGTGCACCCCAAGAGCAATAACTCACGTATGTCTCAGATTATCACTTGATTTGACACAATATCAGGCTGCTGAATCAGTTAAGATCATGAATGCTCAAGTCGAGGCCAAGAAGGCTGTCGTGGATGAGAAAAAGCGAAGTATAGAAGAGTTGATTCGCAGTATAAATGAGAAGAGTATAAAAGCCACCCAGAGGCGAGAAGAGGCTCGCGCTACAGAGATGCAAATATCCCAGGTGATTTTAAACAACTAGTATTTAAGTGAAGGGCAATAGGTGGCCGATTGTTTACTTAAGATACACGCTGCTTACAAGCGATCTTGATGAATATGCTCAAAATGTGGGTAATACTACCAATGGGAGTGGCCTCAGGACCAGATTACCATAAATCAAGAAAAAGCCAGTGCCGACGACGCGCTTGCTGCAGCAATACCAGCTCTAGAGGCAGCAGCACGAGCACTCGAAAACATTGATAAAAAGGATATCACGGAAATCAAGGCGTTTACGAGTCCACCGAAGCCAGTTATGAATGTTTGCATGTGCGTTGTCATCTTGCGCCCGCTTGGGAGGGAAAACGAAGCCGACGGGTGGAACGGAGCGAAATCAATGCTGAACGACGTCAACTTTCTCAAAAGCCTCGTGGAGTATCCGAAAGATAATATTACAGGTTAGTCCTGGGGCCTGCATTCAAGATACCTACTCCCGTGATTCACACGTGAGCACATGTGCCACGTGAGTTATGTTGTTTTCCAACTTGGAGTTTTTTCGCGTAAACATCTTATTTTCAGAACGACAAGTGCGAAAGCTGGCAGAGTATTTCAGCAAAGACCCTGATTCATTCTCGAGCGAGAAAATGGCAAAGGTGTCAAAGGCTGGAAATGGGCTGCTTACATGGGTCAAAGCAATGGTAGAGTACCACGAAGTTGCAAAAGGAGTGGAGCCAAAACGTCGGCTTGTTGCAGAATTACAACAAAAGCAAGACGAGGCAGGAGTTAACCTGGCAAGAATCCGAGTGAGCTCAAGTTTCTTTGCTCGATCAGCCGGTCCTTGATTTTCTTTTTCTTGCCAGACAACAAAATGCTTATTTTGGTTGCATGGAGTCTGGTAGTGGTGAATGGCATTAACGTCATTTGTATATTCTTATTTCTTACATAGGAAGAGCTTCATCACCTGGAGGATCAACTTAGCAGTTTGATGAATGAGCAAGCGCAGCAAACGAATATTTTGCGAGAGGTGGAGGCTGAAGCACGAGTCATGGAACGCAGACTAGCAGCCGCTTGCACACTGATAGATGGGCTTGATTCCGAACGACGCCGCTGGACAGAAGAACACGAAGCCTGTAGTGATACACGCAATAAATTGGTTGGCGACTGCTTAATAGGGGCAGCCTTTCTTTCATATGCTGGACCCTATACACTGGAGTTTAGGAATCGAATGGTCAGTTGGTAATCCACACATTTTGGTGGTTGAAATGCAATCCGCTTTCTACCGCCTATCCAATAGTGCGACGAAGGGGGTTTTAAGCTGCAGAAGGCATTGCTCTATGAACCTTGATACGGGTCTGCGCTACGCATCCGAGCTGCTCAGATCTATGAGGAATGGTGTAGCCGAGTTGTACAGTCTGGTATTCCTGTACGCAATCCGTTCAAGATCGAATGCTTGCTGACGACTGAGGCCGATATTGTCCAGTGGAATAGCGAGGGGCTACCCGCCAATGAAATGTCAATTCAGAATGGCATTCTCACGACCATGTCTTCTCGGTGGCCTCTCTGCATCGATCCTCAATTACAGGTAGAGTGACGCCAGGCTTTGGGGATGCTTTCATCATGACGGACTACAAAGCAATTACACTCTGCCAAGTACCCCTAGTATCTATTGCCTATAATACATTGCTAAGGGGCGCTAGCCAATACAGTGGCTCTCATGCCCAGGGCATAATAAGCATAATACATTGCACCGTCGGTTGGTGCAAATAAACTTAATGAAAACTGCGGTCAGGCGGTAAAATGGATAAAGCAACGCGAGGAGGATCGTGGCCTAGTTGCAAAGGCTTTTACAGATGATTACATGAAATACCTTGAGCTCGCAATTCAATATGGCAAACCCTTTCTCTTCGAGTCCATTGAGACTGACATCGACCCTTCAATAGATCCTGTTTTGGAGCGAAGCCTAGTGATCCAAAACGGCCAAAAGGTTGTCACGCTGCGTAAGCACCGTTTTCGGGCTCATGTCTTAATAAATGGCATCATTGCTTGACTTTTGGCTCATACGATGAAGGTACTCGGCAAGATTATTTGCCCCTGCATTCGGAATGTTCTATGCCCGATTCTCAGTGGGAAAGCAAGTTGATTGGAATGACGGCTTCTGCTTGTATCTGACCACCAAGCTCTCGAATCCCAAGTTCAGCCCAGAGATAATGAACAAAGCCAACGTTATCAACTACCAGGTTCAGTTAAATATACTAAAAACACTGCTCATCAATTTCATGCTCTCTGTAGCTAACTGTTTTCTCTCAAGTCGAATTCCAGCAAGGGCACCATAGTTGCGCTCTGGCATATCAGGTAACAATTACTGGCCTGGCTGACCAAATGCTGGCAATTGTTGTGGGGAACGAAGTGCCTGACTTAGAGCATCAAAGACAAGACCTTATACGCCGCATGAGCGAGAGCCGGCTGATGCTAAAGGTACACAAATGATGCCGGTAGATGTGGTGCCTTCTTCACTGTTTCCCCGAGTTTGTGCCACATTTCAAGTGAGAACAAATGTGGACGTATCCTCGCAGCAACTTGAGAACACGTTGTTACACGAACTTGCCCACTCAAAGGGAAATCCACTCGACAACGAAGACTTGATCGACACGCTTCAAAGCACGAAGACCAAGGCACTCGAAATCGAGAATTTTCTCGAAGAGGCAAAGTCGACTGCTGCCAAAATAGAGGAGGTCTGGCTTCCAAGTTGTGGCTTGGTCCTTAAACATATTTCAATTAAAGCTGTTGTGGGCAAAGAGGATCCCCACATCCAGTGCGGATGAAAAGCACCGTGCAGCAGATTGCAGATATTACACGGTGTCAACAGCTCTGTCAACGTTTTCTGCAGAAACGCCAGGAATTTTACTGCGTGGCCAAGCGTGGAAGTGTTGTGTATTTTAGTATGGACGGCATGAAAAATGTATCCCCGATGCTTGAGTACTCTCTAGATGCTTTCCTGCACACGTTTAGGGTTGCCCTGAGGGAAGCGCGTCAAGATAGAATACTCGAAAATCGCCTCAAAAGCCTCTCTGACAAGGTTACTCAGCTATCCTACGACTACATCAGCCTGGGTGAGTTGGAGGATAACGGCTTTGTGTACGCTCTCGACAATCCGTACTGGCAGTCACGAGGTCTTCCAATCTTGAGTAGCCATTATGGATCAAGTTCTCAATTGCTCATCGTCAACTATTGCTTCCATTTTAACACGTAAAAGCTGTTACTAATCACTGAGTTGCACTGATTTCAGAATTTTTGCTGTGTCAATATATGAAGCGTGTTGAAACCTTGCATGACCAGAACTTCTTTCGCTCATGACCAGTGGGAGCACAATTGTCGAATCGAATAATATACTGCAAGAATAACTTATTCACGAAAGGTCTTATGTGCAGCAGACGCATGTTACATGATGTAACACTTCGGCACTATGTATATATCGGGAGGGTTTCTGTTGCTTGGGATTATCAAGCTGCGATAAGGACTTTGTTGTACGAACAGTAGCCTCACTGCGCTGCATTTCACAATGTACGTAGCACATTTTGTACCTCTGTTCGACCAGGCCTTGTCGAAAGCCAGCGTCTCATTTTTTCATTTCATCTGGCAGTCATGATTATGCGGTATGACGGTAAGTTGTCTGAAGAAGAGCTCGATTTTTTTTTGAAGGGCAGCAACACTATATCCGAAGATTCTTCGAAGCCAGAAGAACTCATCTGGGTACCCGACAGTGGCTGGAACGACTTGCAGAAGATAGACAAGCTCAGCAGCAATTTTAGGGGTCTGCTAGGACATGTCTTATCGGAAAGCCAGGTATACCTTGCCCTCCCCTGTGGAAGTCCGTTAAAACGGTTAGGGTTGGATGTAGCCTTAACGATAATCTCAAAGATTGCCTCACAAATGCGGTCCTCAGTTTGCCAAGCTGTACGAGCTGGTCTACTCTTGTAGATTTGAAAAATATGATGATGCCACGAGGGATTTCGGTGAACTGTTACCTAATACTCCCTCCTCTACCGTTCGCAAGAGAAACCACTTACTACTGCATACTACACTGAGCTTTTCAGGCATGGAGGCAATGGGCGCAAGATGATTTCGCGGAGAAAATGGAATTGCCTGGACACTGGAATCGCGTGTTGTCGCCCTTTCAAAAGTTGATAGTTGTCCGTATTTTCCGAGTCGATCGTGTCCATAGTGCAATCAAGCAGTTCATCCAATGGAAGTTGAATGACCATTACGTTCAGTCGCCTACATTCCAGTGAGCAATCAACTCACCAGAGCCAACATATAGGGTCTTCCACCTGTACGCACTTTGTTATTTGGAGTGTCCATATACACCATATTCTACTTCCTGTACTCCAAAGTACTGGGCACCTCTGCAGATACTCGAAGATCTACGCCCAATCGTCGGAAAATGCGCCGATCCTGCTTATTCTTTCACCGGGGGCAAACCCTCACACCGCTATATGTGCTCTGGCGGACTCTTGTGGCCTTGCTGGCAAGTCGGCTTCGTGAACACAACTGCACACACTCCGTTGGTTGGTGATTAGGGGATGCTTGACACTGTGACATCCGGCTGGAAGGTACCAACGCTTACAAATTACATTAGTTGCTGCGCATTATACAGAGAGGAACGGGCGTACAGTTTTATGCTGATCTGCTAGTACTTTTGAACAACATGGTGCAAAGCATGAATACGCTGACTGTGTTGGCCTCCGCAGGGAACAAGTTCCGATCCCTGTCCATTGGTCAGGGCATGGGAGAACAGGCAAAGCAGTTAGTGGAAACAGGGTACCAGCGCGGACTCTGGATTATGCTTCAAAACTGTCATTTACTCCCGGCGTGGCTTGCGACGCTCGCCAAGTTGCTACAAGGTGGGAACACAGAAGCAGATCATACAGTGGAAAATGTCTGCTTTTATACGCCTGTTGCAATTAAACGTAGATTGTTCAGTTGGCGCCTTCGTAATGCGGCCTTACTAAAGCAACTGAGTCTAAAAGGTCAGGATACCGACCGGAGCACCCACAATGTTATTCGACAACACCTGAGGAAATGAGCTGTAACTAAGGAACGTCTTTCCCCCTAACATATTGTGCTACTCAGAGATGAAAAAACCCCACCCAAGGTTCAGACTATGGCTAACAACGCAGCCGACAAATGCTTTCCCCCTCAGCATCTTACAGGTGCCTTTCCCTAACTGCACACGTGTTCAACTTCGCCATTCGTTCCATAAGGCCTTTTCCCTAGTACGCGCGTGCTGTTCGGACCCGCTAGTCACGCTATGGCTCCTTGCTATCACTACAGGATTCTCTAAAAGTTGTAACGGAGCCACCAGAAGGAATACGAGCCAACATGCAGGGCTCGTATGCTCTGCTTCGAGATGACAAGATTGAACAGTGCCAACATCCCTCCTACCCAACGCTTGTCTACGCACTCAGCTTTCTCCACGCGGTCGTGCAGGTGAAATCCACAAGCAAGGAATCGTGAAACGAGCGCTGGCCCCGTAATGCGTGCGGCTTTAGTAGACAGAGAGTCGGCACTATTGTGTTTCTCCGACCAATCTCTAGTACACTCCAAAATGCTCAAAGACTCAGGGATTATGCGAAAGAAAACATTGGCTGTCTTGCATTTCAGGAGCGTCGCAAGTACGGAAAGATAGGGTGGAACGTTCCATACGATTTTAATGAGTCAGATTTATCCATTTCTCTCAGCCTTGTCAAAATGTATTTGGGCAAGACTGTGGGCACATCAGCAAGTATCTGCCACACGTCTGGAGAGCATTCAGAGGATACTCAAAGCGCAACGCTGTCACACCTTCCAGCAGATATTCCATGGAAAACTCTTCGGTTTTTGATTGGAGAGATAGTATATGGGGGCCGCGTGACGGATGAATACGACAGGCGGGTGCTCGTGACCTACCTTGAAGAATATCTAGGGGAGTTTATCTTCGACAGCTACCGGCGTTTCTCCTTCAGCAAAGCTCCATTTAGCTACACTTTGCCCTCTGATAACTCAAGTGCGGGGCACATCGAGTTCATAAAGGTGAATACTATGTTTGTGCCTCAACGAAGTTTTAGTGATCAGGAGGCCACCGTAGACAGAACAATAGCCAGGAAATTACAGTTGCTCTGGTGAAAATGGAAAAGGTTAGATCCTTTGGTTCATGAAAACACAGTTCCATGTTTCCCAGTTCAAAGCTACACTCAACAGATGAGTAGACTTCATAGCCCATGAATTAGAGTATAAAGCTCAATTATGAGGATTAGGGAGTATCTCACAGGGCAGTCTGCCAAGCTGCTCACCAGGAATAGTGCAGAGGGTTTTTTTTTT